GCCTCCATGGAGATCTCCTTCCTTCAGCTCCAATGCCTTTAAGACGACACCTCCAGATTTGACTAGTACAGGCAATTTTGGAAGTCATTTGATTTCTACTTCAGAGCTTAAGAAAATGGATTATCTTGCCATTGGATCTTCTAACTTAAATGAAAATCAAAGGACCTATCTGAATTTACTAGATGATGAACACGAGTACTCTAAGTGGGGCATTCTAAGTTACTCTCCAAGCTTTCTGTACATGAAGCTTCTACAATACCATCTGCAACTGCAAAAACTTGAAATGAAGTTCAAGATGGAAATGCTAATGGGTCTGACCAAGTGAAGTTCCAAGCGATAAATTCTATGCAAGTAGATCTTGATGCCACTTTCAACCCTGTTGAGATATTGAATTCAATTCATGAAATCAGTCCTGGTAAGGATAAGATTACTATAAAGAAGATAACGGATGTTTGGATCACCTATCTTGACCTACCTGAGGATTAGAGTGACTTCGTCATTTTTCAATGTCTCTAAGCTGGCTGCTCATTAGTAATTAAACTGTAAGACTGCTCAATATAAGGGAACCTTACAACCCTGAGAGAATAATGCGGGAGCTAGAGATTTTATTTTAGGTTATATGTCCTGGTTTATGTGTTTTAATTTGTTATTTGTGTCTTTATGTTTTAGGATGACATACTTGTAATTAGGAGAGTCTAACATGTGGCCTGATGATAGATAATGTATTTTGATTGATTGTAAGAACCTTTCCCATATCATTCCATAATAAGAAGAGAAATCATTATCTTGGAGTGGCGCCCTTCCATATTCATTATAGATTTTATTTCCCTTTTTTGGGTCCAGATTTCTTTCCTTTCTGAATTTAGAAACTACATATTATTGTATTTACCTTGTTTCCCGTATCAAATACGATAGCCATCATACTAAATGAATGCCTTCAATGAACAACAAATTTTACCTCAAATAAATAAATAAATAAAAATCAACATAATAAAATTAAAGAAAATTTATATACGTAGCACAAAATTCTTATGTATTTACATATCTCACACCTATACTTTCATATTTACATACAAAGCACAAGCACTTTGGTATTTACATACAAAGCACTTTGGTGCTGATGAAAAGATGTATTTGATTTTTAAAAAATGACGATAGTGCTATTTTTAAAATGATATTAAATATTTGAGTGCTACATATGTAAATATGAAAGTTTAGATGTGAGATATGTAAATCCATAAGAATTGTGTGTTGTGTATCACGTATGTAAATGAATCTAAAATAAAATAAAATAAAAATAATAGATTGCATTCACAGCTACCTGTCTACTGCTTTTCTAAAGCTTTTCCATGGAGTCATGATTTAAAGCTGGAGCAAACCAATGGAACTTGAAAAGAATCATAATTTGCTCCCAAGTCAGTATCTTTCCATGAGAAAATCCTCAGCCATCTTCAATCCTCCATTCTTCCTCCGCACAATCTAATGCCACAATTCTTCCTACTTCTCAAATATGCCCCATTTTGGTATGAAAAAAACACAAAGTTAAAATCCTCCAAAGTAAGAATTAAATCTCCCAGATTTTATTGAACTTTTCCTCCTTCGATGGCACAGCCTCAACGTAGCACAGTATATCCCCGAACCTCGCTGCTCCTAGCCATGCCAGGGCCCGGAAGACACAAAATCAACTTCTCAGAACACATTAATCATGTTAAAGTTCTGAAATTTTCAGTTTTAGGTTTCATGGTTGGAAGAAACTCAATTCTTACAAAATCTAATTTTGTGTTTTGTTTGTTGAAATTTAAGCATGAAGAAATTTGATCATCTAAGTTTTGATGAAATTGAAAATTTTTTATTTGGAAATCTAGAATAAAGATTTTAATCAAAAATAATTTTTAATAAACAGTATTTACCACAATTTAAGGCTGTGTGATTAAAATACCACATTACATGATTAATATTCTACTCAATCACAAAATGAAGAAGAAAAAAAAATTTAGAAAATCATATATTCATGAATTGAAATCATTATGTTTGTGGAAGAGTGTGTAAGCAGGCGCCTATTAGGATGTTGAACCTCCTGATGTGATAAATAGCTTGTTAACCTTTGTTAAGTTTCATATATTAATATTTTTTTTTTGTTTCAAACTAGGGTTTGGTTGACCTTTATTTGTAATAATACATATTAGAATAATACTGACAGCTTTGTTGAGCATCTAACACTTGTGGTTCAAATGAACGTAGAATAACTTGACGTGGCCCCAACTCAAAAAAACCAGGTTGGGATCATCTGAATAATATACAAAGAAAGTTAAGGTATAAAAAATCAGCTCGTTTAAAATTTAGGTTGAGTTAAGGCTGACCCCAAAAACCCAAAACTAACTTGATTACTTATTTAGTCTAAAATGCATCCTCTCTTTAATTAGTTGATAATCCTTCTTCATCTCTACTGGACACATTCATGCTAACTGGATTGTGTTGGCACAAAAAAATGAATGAAGCATATAATAATGGCACATAGTGAATGGGTCAGATATGTCCAGCATGAGTGAATCAGGTTTGTGTTAGATCGAGTTTGTTAAACATCTAGACCCATATAATAAAATAGGGTGGATTCAGTTAAGCAGCTTTAGGTCGAGTCAGACCCAAACCCACCCCACTAATCTAAATAGATACCCCTGATTAAAATTCCGACATCTATTAAACCCAATTTCTCAAATAAGAGAAACCACTTGCAAAATACCAATAAGAAAGTTTTCAAAAGTTCAAACATAAAATTTTGAAGTTTAAGAAATTAACATTAGCAAAAATGACCAACATCTTAAGTGGAATGCTATAAGGGTGCAAGGGAGAAACCGTCCTAAATAGTTCGCTCCTAAACTAAATTTTAGTTGATTGAAGCCTCACCGAGCCCAATGTTCTAAAACATTTTTTAGAGTGACATGAGGTAAAACTATTCCAAGGTAATCAGGAAAAAAGTGTAAGCACAGGCATTGTCATGGGCACCTGTGGCTTGCCTTTCACACCCCATCATAAGGGCGATCACATCATGATATAGCTTAAAATGAAATTGAATTATCAAATTATTATATTTTAACTTGCATAAATATACTTCTTATTCATTTAAATAAGAATATGAATAAAAGGATAATTTATTTTTAATCTCTTAAGAGTTAAGCTTTATCCAATTGATTTTTCTCACACAAGCCCCAAAAAAAAATCGAAGTTCCGAGCCCAAGTTGCCTTCATCTCCCTCCCAACTTGTTTACCTTTGCTCACTTTTATTTTAGTTTGATTTCATATGATTGGGTAAATTAGACTTTACAGTTAAAATATAAATCATATGCTATATACTTTGGATTTTAAAATTTATTTCAATTTTTTTATCACTCCTTTCTAATATTTTTAAAAAATTTTATCAAATATTAAAAATGTATAAATCATGGAGCTTACATCATGTGCCTCACGGCTAGCATCCTGTCTCATGATAAATAAAATACCCCATCATATGTCTTTCATTTTATAAAACTTTATGAAAGCCAAAAATAATTATGCCCCTGTGGATTCATTGAGCGTAGTGCTTAGTGCATTTTCATTGAATGTAGGTGATTTCATTATTATTCACTAATTGAATTTCTCAAATTTAAGATGCAATAATGATGACAACATGAGGATAGGAAATCATGTTCAAAGAAACACTTGGATGACTAGCATGATATATAAAGGAAGACACAATCACACAAGTACATCTAGTATCCTTCCATCAGTATTAGATTGATTTGTCCCATTGAGTACTAAATAGGAGTTCAATTTCCACCTCCACTTGGATCACCTTCTCAATCATGGTGGCCTATTAGCTCACAGTGACAACTAAAAATAGTCATGCAAGTCCATGTTGCAAGCCCAACTAGACATTGACACTTGTAGTACTGATGCACGACATCCACCAAATGCATACACATAGGAAGTGGTGTCCTAGCATAGGAGAGGTGATGCTATGGTGGGATTATTGCTAGATATAGTAGTAGGAGTCTTTGTAGCATTCTAAACTACTATACTATAATATGATATAAATAATACATTCCTAAACTATTTTGGTTCATTAAATATAATTCTAGATGTGATTAAGGAGTCAACTTTTTTTAGCATGAAGTTAATTGTTCATCAACAGAATGTCATATAGTTTTCTAATTGATTAAAAATATAGTTTAAATTTGGGTTATATGTTTGAAAACTAAGTCAAAAAAATCTTAAGCCATGCTAAGATCAATACCAAAGCTAATGACTTAGTTGTAGTCATATAGTTAATTTCATCTAAGTTCTAATTATTTATTCTCTGCAAGTAAATTAAAAATGTCAATTTGGCTTTATATGCCTTGCTAACTTGTAACAATATGTTCATAACTGTATCTATTTCTCGTAGATTACGGCGAGCAGGAAGAAATTTGCAACCAACATTACTAACATACCTATATGTAAGTAGTAACAACCACATATGCCCTCATCTTATATTCTTCAAATAAAAACCCAGCTAAAAGTTTGAAATTTACAGTTAGCCCACCTCGATGCCATAAACTATGCATGAAAATGTGTATTTCACCTGTAAAAAGACAGTGATGGTGGTATTTTTTATGTGTATTAAGGATTTTAGTGACAGGCATGAAAATATGAATGTTTAGGTGTTAGATATGTAAATACCTAAGAATTGTGTGGTATGTATGTAAATACCCCATTTTTTAATAAGAGATTTTCCAAATTTTGGTCAACATAAATCCTGAGGCACAATCATCAAAGGAATCAGAAGTGCAGGATTTTATGCAATATAACGGTCTGGTACATGCTTCTATGCAAAAAGCACCTGTTATTGGCCAATCAATCAATTATGAAAAAATAAAACAAGTAGAACTGGTTTTTTTCTCAAAAAAACCAAAACAAAAGAAACAAAGAAAATACAAACATGATCCAGAAATGAATACAAAAGCCCAAAATATTTCAACCAGTTCTCCCCCTTCCCCTACATTACCAGAAGTTCTACTCTTGTACAACATGCCGGGGTACTTGAAATCACTAGCATTAACATCACAATCTTCAGCACTCATATCATAAAATAGATTTTCCACAAGCAGCCATCAACGTGTTGAATTGGATAATCAGAAATGTTTATTACATAAAAAAATAAAAAAATCTATGAAGATCGAACTATTTGTTACAGGAACCAAAGCGTTAACAGCCGTATATAGTCAACAATTAAGAAAAAACAAAACAAAACAATAGAACGAGTAAAGAACCATCAATGTACCGAATTTAACAAGACGCTCAATTCTCTGCCACCAAATTCTACCCAGATTGAGCCCGGAAGCATTCCCAGAATCCAAGCCAGCTTCCATCAGAAAACATTATATGCAATGTTATATCCACAACTTTCAATTTAGTGCAGAATAAGATCTCTCATTTCCATATTGCAAAAAATCATGAAGAGACTCTCATTCTATAGTTTCTCCCAATCTTCTTCAGCTGCTGCCTCTTATAAATGAGGAAACCCGCAAAAGTTACTTGGAGTACGCCCGCGATGGCGATGAACGCAAAGCCGAGCTTCTTACCGAAATTTAGCTTCCCCGGTGAAGGATGCGGCGGAGGTTGCCGCTGATGGTGGTGGAAGACTGGCTTCGGGGAGTGCTTTTGATGGGGTGGCGAGAGTGCTGCAACGCCGGATGGTTCAGACATTATGTGGTTGAGTGGAGGGTGGGAGGGGGATGATGCGGGTGTTAGGGAATGAATGGGGGAGGAGAGGGAGAGCGAGTCGATGAGAAGGAAGAGAGTGAGGAAGATAAGGGTTAGGGTTAGGGTTAGAGAGGTGTGATCCATGGGAAGCTAGTGTTAGGGTTCCAGTGATCGACCGGCCGCTCCGACCAGTTTACGGCGGTAACGCAACCGCATCTAAAGAAATGCCGGGAAAAATGGGGAGGATGCTTCCGCCAATTTCCGTGTCGAAGTGATTTAGGTGGGACCGCGGGAAGGGGATAGCGAACGCACTTGTGGCAATGAGAGGATCAGCTGCGCGACACCGAACAGGAAACAGGGAATGATTTCAATTCCAAACATGTAAGATTTTGGGTTCTTAAAAATATAATATTTAAAATTTGGGCGGTTGTTATGTAAACACCCCTATTTGACAAGATTATTAGTCATATCAAGTCAACTTCTATCTATTTATATAAATAATATCTAAATTATATTTTTGACATATATACCACCAAAATCTTTCATATATTGTCATCATTTTTTAGGGCCCATTTGGGGCAGTTGGCATTTTGAAAATGCACACAGCCTGTTTAAGAAAACTGTGTTGTGACTACTCATGCATTTTCACACACCTATCTAGGTACGATTGCAGGTTTCTAGCAGCGGTCTGGTTTTTCCAAAAAAAATAAAAATTTGTAATAACCACTATACCTAACTTATCAACAGATTATTTTTAATCAACTTATCAGCAGATTAATCAATAAACTGTAGCTGCCCCAAACAAACACAAAACTTCTTGAAAAGTTGAGTAAACTTTTTCATACATTGGAAAGGCGGTGCACATGTAAACATTAAAATTAAAATTTAGGTGTTAGATATCTAAATACATAGATATTGAGTGGTATAATATAGAGAAAAAAAAATTACAAACATACCATTCAATTCCTATGTATTTAAATACCTAAAACCAAAACTTCAATTTTTACATATATCCTACCTAACCTATGCATAAAAATATGTATTTCACTTTTTACAAGTTCAAACTTCAAAAAGGTGGCATTTTTTATGTGATATGAAATATTTGAGCGGTATAAATGTAAAAAAAAAGTAAACTTTAGGTGTTATATATGTAATAGAGGCATAGGAATTGGGTGATATGTATGTAAATGCCACAATATAAAATATAGCATCAAATTATAACTTTACAAATGTCCTTCAAAAGTATCATCTAAATACAAAGTCAAAAAAAAAAAAATTCCATAAATCAAAATTTATCACAACTGCTAATGATAACTTTCAGCAGCTTCCTCAATACAGCCTATTGTAGAATCTCCTCTCCTCTAAGAGCACAGCGCTTTGAGATCCGAGCCAGCCATCATCAAATGCAGAAAAGCTTTATGACAGAACTGTAAATAAGCCAAAATATTGCTTTCAAATAGATTCTGCTGCAGAATTCTCCCAAAACCTGATGATGCCATGAGAAAAGCTTCAACTTTTATGAGTCAGAATGGTTTCCACCCTGTCTATGGATGCCCTCAGGCGCCCAAAGTCCATATCTAACATGGGTTCCCCGGTTCCAACAGCCCTACAAAGCCAAAAATTTGCAAGCAATGGAGGAAGAGCAACAGGTTAGGCACAATTTAACAGGTTATGGGAATGCAGATATCAAATCAGATTTTCATAATAATCATATATTTATGCATGGCCTATGGCCTGGTTTATAAATTGAAGCATTTCATATTTAAAATTTGGAGTTCCTATTGTGATTGTAAATTAATGGATCACCAGTTGGGCTTTCTGTACCCCTCAGAGGATGGCTATGAGGCCACCTTGCGAAAGCAATCTATGTCGTTCGAGACGTGCTGCCACTGTTGTGCGTGCATCATGTTAGAGGCGCAAATGAACGGAGTTGAATAGAATACTATCGGGTTCGAGCTCATTCATTTATTTTGTTATTGAATTCAAGTCGAGTTTGAATATGACATGAATTTTTAGATCTGGATCAAGTTTGTCTATTTTTTTATCAAATTGGAAGTGAGATTGAATTTTAATTGAGTATAATAAATTATAGTGGCTAATGTTTTAAACATGTAATCTTATGGACATGTCACCAAGAAATTTTGAATCATTGGGCATGAAATTCGATGCATTTTAGGTAAATGAATCATTGGGCATGAAATTCGATGCATTTTAGGTAAAGGATCTTCCAAATTCAAACTCAGGATCTTATAGACTCTGGCTTCAATAAATTTATGGTTAAACAAAACATCTCAACAATAGGAGCACCCAATTACAGATACCCCGATAAAACACTTATAGTTGAAAGATTTAATGCATTAATTAGAAGGCCAAATAATATCTATAATTGGCCTGCTTATAATCAAATCGCCAACAAGCACAAGATCATGTAATTTGGAGTTTGTTAAGGAACTTAAATACTGCGAAAACAAATTATGATTAATCGAATCAATATGATCCGTACGATGAAGTGTTTCGAGATTATGGCTAAATTTATCAAAATGTTCTCTCAAAAAAACTATAAATAGACCTCTATTCTTCACTTATGATGGGAGTGAGTTCATTATTAAAGCTTAACTCTTAAAATCTCTTCGGTTGTCGATGGCTACCCAAGAACGTCTTCAACCATCAAAGTTTGTCACCAATCACCAGAGGTCGTCGTAGACCACCAGAGATAATCACTGACCACCCAAGATCATTGTCAATCACTTCTAGAGGCTTCTCTAGCCCAATTATTATTCACAGACTCGATCTTTACTCTACAATAATCTTCTGCACTAAAAGAGAAGAGTATCAAACTGTAACTGAAATTATATAATGTCATTTTAATTGGGGTACGTTCCATGATGTTTTTACTTCCTAGGATTTTTCCATGTAAAATTTATGATTATCTCTTAAATTTTTAAATATGTGTGTGTGCTGAAAATTTCACTTAGCTAACGCTCATGAATTCTCTGCCACTGAGAACTTTCTAGAACGCAACACTTACTATTGGACATAATTGAATTTGTAGATTTTGATTTAAAGTGATTTATTAAAGCTGTTTGGTTAAGCACATCTATTAATTAGAGACTTTTAATCTATATATCTAACTAATTATATGATATTTTCATCATATTCATACCTCTAACAACATTCATTACTATTAAACTAAATACAATATAATAAAATTAATAAAATAATATATAATTAAGTCATCAAATCAGCTATTAAACCTTATTTAAATAAGTATCTGTTAAGGTCTTCGTGGGTTGATTGTTAAACAACGAATTAGCATGTTTACTAACATAAATAAATGGACAAGCAGGTCAAGATTCAAGCTTACTCATTTATAAGACAAGCTTAGTTCAAGCTTATTCAATTTATTATAGGAGGTTCTAGGAATAAATTGTATATTAGCACAAATAAATGGTGGTTTAACAAGGAAGTCTAAAAGCTAATCAAAGAAAAATTATGCTTTTAAACTATGGAAAGGTTAAATATTACTAAATCTTATAATAATTATGAGAAAGCCAGAAGTCTTGCAAAAAGGGTAGTGAGTAAAGCAAAAGCTACATCTTTTTACGATTTATATGATATGCTTGGTACGAAAGTATTTTGGAACTGATATTAAAGAATGAAGAGATGCAAGATTGTGCAAATTAAATAAGAATCAAACTTTTAAGTCATATAATGAATCTAATGAATCATAGACTTTGAAAAATTACAATAGTTTCAGAGAATCGGTTTAATTTATAGTTATTAAATTGATAAATGAATGATAGTTCTTCTCTTTATTCTATAGTTATTATTGGCAAATCAGATTACTAAATTTAGGTTAGTGTTGCTTCAAATAATGTTGAATTTTGATCCACCAAATTAAAGACTAAGCATTTAGAACTTACTGCAGCAATGAGTGAACCAAATTGATTTGAGCTGCTAATAGCCATTGCATAATCAATGGGATTAGAAACGAGGTTAGACCGACGCCAAGCCTGCCAAAGAATTTGAAAATTTATGTTAGGCACAACGCTAAAAGAGCAATTGAGCCATTTGTTAGTTATTATTGTGGGGTATAAATAGGGCTTATTATGCTTATGGTTAGGTGATGCATGTTTATCTTTTATGTATTTGATTTGCGTTGCTTGGTATTATTGAAATAAATTATTTGGTTGTGTTATTGAAATGAATTATTTGGTTGCAGTAATTTTTGTGGAAAACCCCTCTCATTCCTATCAAGTCAGTACCAGAGAAGTTCATTCTGGCAAATAAATGATGGGATCGTGATAGCAAGGAAGTTGACGACGGGATCACGTACAAGTTTTAAATCAGAGAAGGGATCGGGAGTGCCCTAGTGGCAATCCAAGAAGACGGTGAAAAGATTGCAGTGATCATGCCGCGATTCAAGGTAGCAAGGAGCCGATGAGATCACGGTTTTACCTAGCTGAGAAGCCAACGATAGGATCGCGGGGATCGCAATGTGAATATAGTCGTGATTGAGTACCGAAAGCCAAGATCGAGATCGCAACAAGTACTGGGAAGCCAACGACATAATCATGACATGGCCTAGTGGCACAATAGCGATTTGATTTCTCTGAAAAGCATCACAACATGCCCTTGTCGCAAAGTCACAAGTAGAGCTAGTCAGGAAAAAAAAAACAAATGGGATTGAGGCGTTCAAAGCTTTGCCTTCATGATAAAAAAAATCTTTTTGGGAATAATAGCAGCTAAAAAAAAGATGCTATGGAGAAGAAATTAAAGAAAGAAGTGAGTCAAATCATATCAGAAATGAAAGAACATTTCTCAGCCATGGATGTGCGTTTCTCGTTCATGAAGGGGTGGTTCTCACCCATGGAGTGGAGATTCAAGTCTCTGAAAGAAATGATGAAGAAGGTCGTAGAGCTTCACACAAACCCGCCACTGCCTGCCGTGTGATTGAACAACGACGTCTAGATTGGACGAGAGCGACAGTAATCAAAAGGACCTGTGTGGCATCAAAGCGACGTAATTGCCTTTAGCAGATCTAGAGTCATGGGATTGAGCATGTAATAATCCTACAAACTGGAGTTTCTCACATCAGTGTGCGTCCATATCACTACTCCCAGGTACAAAAGGACAAGATTGAGATATAGAACCGAGAAATATTGGAGGTCGGGGTCATACAACCCAGTGTGAGCCTTCTCTAGCTCAATCTCATTAGTGAAGAAGGATGGGAGTTGTCCTTTAGCAGATCTAGAGTCATGGGATTGAGCATGCAATAATCCTACAAACTGGAGTTTCTCACATTAGTGTGCGTCCATATCACTACTCCCAGGTACAAAAGGACGAGATTGAGATATAGAACCGAGAAATATTGGAGGTCGGGGTCATACAACCCAGTGTGAGCCTTCTCTAGCTCAGTCTCATTAGTGAAGAAGGATGGGAGTTGGTGCTTTTGTATGGATTATCGAACAGTGAAAAAGGAAACAACACCTGACAAATTTTTCATCCCAGTAACCAATGAGTTGCTTGACGAGTTGTTTGGGGCTGCACTATCCTCCAAGATTGACTTGAAGTTAAGGCACCAATAGATTCAAATGTGACAAAAAGATATGCATAAGACTGCATTTCGAATTCATGAGATTTACTATGAATTTCTAATTAAACGGAAAGAATTGCCAGATGAGGATGTCACATGGGAGCCACATTACTTGATCCAATAAAAATTTCATTTCTTTCACCTTAAGGCAATGTGTCTTTTGGGACGGGAGTAATGTTAAATCGACGCCGAGCCCGTCAAAGAATTTGAAGACTTATGTTAGGCAGAAGGCTAAAAGGACAATTTAGTTATTTGTTAGTTATTATTGTGAGGTATAAATCGGGCTTATCATGCTTAGGGTTAGATGATGCATGTGTGATTATTGTCTTCAATCTTTGGGTTAGAGTTCGGGAGAGATGACCTATCTCTCGAGTTGTTGGTGCTTCTCTTTTATGTATTTGAGTTGTGTTGTTTGTTGTTAGTGAAATAAAATATTTTATTGGCCTAATTTATGTGAAAAACTCCTCTCTTTCATATCACATGATTACCAAATAATAGCTAAATAAAATCCATCGATATTAAACAAACTAGCCACAACTATCAGAAATATTAAGAATGAGTTATTTCGTCGGTTACTCATTAATAGACCGACTTTTATTAGATCTTGTAATGAAGATGTTATCAATGAGAATAACAACAAAAAATTCCTAAATAACATCTACAAAAGTATTCATGAGCATTAAAAAAATGGTTGAATGAGAACAACTTCAGCGACCTATGTTATTAGTGGTCTATAATTTAGCAACCAAAAAAAACTATGGTAGCTAGAAGCCTCTGCAACGCTACAACAACACAGTTAAACAAAACCATGGCAAACAAACTATGTTATTAGTGGTCTTTAATTCAATTATTCAATCTTCTCCAATGACCTTGCTCCTTAGAAGTATATCAGCAAGAGAAGCTATTCACAATATCTATACCTACCAATTATATTTCAAAAAGTCTTCAAAACTATAAAATATGACCTTGCTCCTTAGATTAAAATCAACAAGACAAACTAATCAAAATATGTGCTTGAGGTGCGCGCAATTAAACTAATATACACATACATTCAAAGCGATGTTTTCAGTCAGATCAAGCTATATTTAATTGAGTCCAGTCAAGCTTAAAATCAACTAAGAATCAACTTTGACTAAAATATCCGGCTAAAACTCCTTTAAAAATCAACTCAATTGAGCCAAATGTATTCCAATTTCAATTTATTATTTTCACCAGCCCTAGTTCCCAATAATGTAAACAAATGGGTAAAGAAAGCTGATAGCTTACCCTTGAATTTGAGGTAGGATGTACTCGGCCCTCCAACCAATTCTTACATCAAATCCAGGGAACAAACCGACAGATGTTTTGTTTCGGATCTGAGACATACCATCTCCACCCAAACATGTTGAGAGCTTCCATTTCCAGCCTGTTCCATTCGTATGAAAATTGTGGCCTATTCCTACCTGCATTGCAATGTAAAATATAAATTATAAATATATTTTCTAATGATATTTTGCCGTTTGATCAAATAAAAAACTGCCTAAACGCATAATTATGTATAGTATTATGTACCTAATATAAATATAAAGCTAATACTTATTTAAATATCATTGCATCACATTGAGAAAAACAGTAACTTCCATCATGGGTCTTTGTTGTCCAAATCACAACTTTTTACTAAATGATTAAGCTTATTGAAACCATCCAAAACTCTTCAAATTTAATCATTTTCACTGAACAATGATTACCATTTTGGAATAATTAAAAAATGAAAAAAAAATAGCATATTATAGTTACTGCGGACATGAGGTGCCACCAAAATAGCAATTTACTGTTTTAAGTATTTAAATTTATGCCAAAAAATTTAGCCTGCGTTCATCAACTCTCATCTATTGAAAGAATAAATTTCCATAAACATGATTTGTGTGTACTAAGTAGAAGTTGCCCTCATCTAAGAAATTCATAAAATGGAAACCAAAGAAGTAACTTTTTCTATAACTAGCATCTTTAAAGCCAATTTTTTGTTTTGAAAGAAACATAAAAACTTTGTGGCATTTACATACATACCACGCAATTCCTATGTGTTTACATATATAACACCTAAACTTTTATTCATATATTTATACCACTCAAATCCTTCATATCACATAAAAAGTACCATCATTTAACTTAAAAAAAATGAAATGCTCCTTTTTAGGCATAGGTAAGGTGGCATTGATGTAAAAAATTGAAGTTTAGGTGTTAGATATGTAAATAAATAGGAAATGAATGGTACGCGTGTAAATCTTTCAAAAATTTTTGTAGGTAAAAATAGACGAGCATTTACTCTTCGCAAGATATATATATATATATATATATATGTGATGACTACGATCCATGAAAGATATAGCCTTTTTGGGGGCCTAAAAGCCACTGTAAATATGAAGTTGGATGGTTCCTAGCTTCCAAAAATTTAGTGCACGCAAAAAATCTAAGAAGCAAAAATTTTAATGGCCAATGCAGGGATTTTGTCTACCGGAAAAGTCAAAGACTATAAGAGATGACAAGGTTAGTTGAACTTGTAGTGAGGTCAAAAAATCTATGAACTTCTTGGTCTTGCAAAGTATAATGCTCTTCTAGATCACTCATGGCTCAGAATCAGAGACAATCTTCAATCATCTGAAGCATAAAAAAGGTTTCAGAAATTGGAGATTCTCAACCAAATCTTAAAACACTCTCTTAAAGTACAAAACAACATAAATAAAAACAATTGACATCATTGTATATTCACACATTTTGCTAGAGAAGATGGTTGATGTCAAAATTTACGAGTAAAATGGCTTTCACATGCCCATTTTCATCAAAATGATATTGGACATCAAAAAGATAATCCACCTTCGACTGACGTGAAGCTTTGTTTGTCAAATTGATAGGAATTTGTGAAAAAAAAAGGCTAAATATTTCAAATCCAACAACCATAGACTTCTTACTTCAAAACAAAAAATGCAACAATTGTTTATTTTGCAAAGACTTGGGAACTAACAATGTAGTATGAGGTTGAGCTTATGATTTATAATCACCGTCAAGGTGATAAACCCTTTGAGAAAACTCCCCTAATAAAGGAGACCTTATCGAAAATGTGCTATCAAAGAGTAAAGCACGATGCAATTGCGCAAGACTTTATTTTTTCTTCAAATTGTAAAGCGTAGAGCGAAGTGGCGCTTTTATTAACCAAAACGCTAATAGATTATACAAAACTATTGATGTATACATTCATTAAGAATTATAAAATATAAAATATGAATTAAAAGTTCATATGAAATTAAAAAGTATGTGTCAGCACTACGGACTGACTTGAAAAATTATTCATTTCAAAATTCAAATTTTTAAGGGGGGGTTGCAATTAGTGGGGATGACAAGTCTTAAAATAGAGGGAGAGCTTCAATGAAGAGAGGAGAAGACACTGAAAAGTAAAGAAGTAGAGGGCCTTGATCAAGCTTCAGGTTGCATTTGGGGCAGTTTTTTAGCTGCGCACGGTGGGAAAATGCAGAAGTTGGCACTTGGAAAAAAAGTTGTGGTGCCTTTGACTTATTTGAGTAAACTAAGGTACACAGGTTCGCGTCTGCAGCCCGCATTTCGTTTGCGTGATAGTACCTCGGTTGCCCTCGGGATGGTTCTTTAGTGTCACGGTGGTGGCGTTGTTGGTGGTGTGCAACTATTGGGTGTGGTTCTTCAGTGTCATGAAGGTTGTGTTGTTGGTGGTTTGTGTTGATGTTGGGGTGGTGTTGTTATAAACAACACTATAGTACATAAGTAAAGAAGATCATTTGTTCAAAAACAATTGTACACTGTTGTTTCAAAACTGCAAAAAACAAACAGACAGTCAACTTCTAAGCAACAGCTTCCTGCTACAACTACTGTGTAACAGCTTTTTAATAAGCTGCAACTGCCACAAACAGACCCTCAATCTCTTACAAACTAAGGAGTATTGGTTTTTTTATATACTTTTTTCTTTTTCTTGTGTCCTTTATTATAAATTCTTATAATATTTGTGAAGTTAATGAAATGCATTGTTTTGTTTGTAAGAGCGTGATAAGTTAAGCAATTTCACCTTTGAATTTGTGGTTTCAATTTCCAATAAATGTGTTTTTCATAATGTATTGAACTTAACATGTTTGTTTATTTTTCTTCCATTTTAATTTAGCAATAGTGATGGTCACACTTGTTTAAAATTTAGTGTAAATTAGTAATATTGACAAAGTCTTGGTTACATGAAAAAGAATTATAACAACAGTTTAGAAAAATAAACATATTGCCTCTGAAGCTTAGCAATTATTTACAAAAAAATAATAATAATAAATCATCTATTTGCATAGGGGTATAGCATTTAAGTATTTCAAAATTAGGATTTTGAATTATCAATAGAGATAGAAATTACTCTTACTCCTGATTAACGACAAAAACTTGATATGAAAACACATGTCTATGAACTTTAATTTAAAGAATTGCAAATTCAAATATCTCTCACATTTTGAGTATTTTCGTTTAACAAAAAATTAATAATAATACCTTTTGAAAAATTTAACATTTGATAGAAAATAGAATTTTAAGCTAGCGTTCAACATTCTTATTAAATAATCACAACTTATACTTATGGGAATGATCTCTTACCGGAATTCATTGTATTACTTGAGCGACACATATACTTGTGTTTGCCCATAAAAAGTCAGGTCATTTGTGCGTGAAAATGTGTAATTCACTTTTTAAAAGTTAAAAATAGTATTATTTTTATGTGATAAGAAAGATATAGGTATCATGAATTAAAAAGTAAAGTTTAGGTGTTAGATATGTAAATACAGAGGAATTAGATAGTATGTATGTAAATAAGTCAAGCATCATGAAGTTGTAAAAATAATATAGAGGTAATGTTGAAGTCTGAGCTAACACGCAACACAACTATATTCAGCTGGTTTTGTATTCTTTGTGTTCTTAACATGTAATATTACAATGAACAACATACTAGTAAAAATAAAAAAAAAATTATTAGACAATAAATAAAATTTATAAAACAAAAAGCAGCAACAAATTTTTAAATACCAAATATCATTTCTAGAAGTCCATATCACTAATGCTTAAGGTAGAAAAAAATATATTTGTAAGCTAATCTTCATCATAAATGAAATGGTTTAAGTACCTTTAAATTCTCGATAAGATATTAATAATAAGCAAAACGAGATAATAAGAGAATATGTTAAAACTATTAAAGTATACTCGGTTACAAAACATATAAGTTGAAGTACAACATTACAATATTTGGGATATGAGTAAAGTTTCATAATAGACTTCAGTATTTACATGGGGCCATTATAGTCCCAGAGTAAATAAAAGTGTCAAACTAGTCCCTTTACTCAAATATGGGCTCAAATAGTTCCCATAAATAACTATTTTAGCACCCATCAAAAAATTTTGTGAACTAAATTAACAATTTTATAGACTCTGGGAGTACAATGACTTCCTACAAATAGTTAGGGAACCATTTTGACACTTTACTCTTTGTGATATTGTATTGAAGGATAAAAAAACTATTTTATAAAGGGAAAGTGTAATTAAAGAAATGTCGAATTCTTATAGAATTCATGTCGATGTATTATAATGAATTTCCATTTCTTTAACTTGTTGGAGGCATCAAAACAAAAATTACATCAACCATAAAAATGTAATTTACCTGTAGGTTGAGATACTTTGCTATTGGAATCTTTTTAGATAGCAATCTTATGTCCCCATGTATAGGTTCAATAATGAATTTCCATCTACGATCATGTGCAAGAGGCTTCAAAACAAGCTTCGTCTCAAATTCATTCACCTCAAAATTAAAGAACTGAAAAAAGAAAAGAAAAAACACAAATTGATAGCAATTGTGGCATGGAAATGAGGCTGGTGTCAATAAAAAAAATTATGAGGATAAAAAGTAATAAACCATTTGGAAAAAAGTGAAATGGAAAGTTATTTGATCAAATTGATAGCAATTGTGACATGGAAATGAGGCTTCTGTCTACAAAACTGGGGTTATAATCATCAAAAGTTAGCATACATACAAAAAATTTAGTTCAATATTGCTATTAATATGACATGAGAAACACAAACATAATAACGCATTAATGGTGCTGTAGGTTTCACTTTCATCACCAATGAGAAAATAAATTCAATGCTCTAATCTTCATATAAAAAACGTTTGAAAGAGCAGAAGAAGAGAAGGGAAGGGTACTTACCTCGAGGTTAAGACCGAGACGGAAACCACTGATCTCTTTCCGGAACTTAAAGAAAAGTTCTGAAGGCACGACGTTTATGGTATAGAGGTCCTCCAGCGACGTAGAATCATTGGATTGTCCTGTCGGATGATTAGGGTTCGAAGCCATGGCATCGGTGAAGAAGCTCGGTCTGAAGCTTCAGGTCCGCATTAACTTCATATGAAAATGTAGGTCCCGCTTTTTTTTTCTTTTTTTTTTCTTTTTTTTTGAGAAATTTAGTTAGGCTTAATTTTTTTTAATGATATTAATTTATTATAATTAAATAAAAATATAACTCTCAATACGACTCAATAGAGAAAAATGATTCATGTAATCGACCACACTTAGTAGGATAAAAACTTATTTTTGATGATAATTTACATAAATATCACCCAATATAAATGTATTTATCTATCTCACACCCAAATTTTGATTTTTACGTCATATTCACCCTAACATATATATATATATAAAGGTGGATTAGAGTATTTCTATCTTTTCATAGGTAGAAAAAGGTTTTTAGGTGTAAAAATTAAAGTTTAGGTGTACGATAAATAAGAACACCAAATCTCCCCGCAAAAGCAATTGAAAAAAAGAACTAATAATGATACCAATTTTGAACCATAAAAAAAAATCAATGGTAGTTAATCGATAATATTAGAGAGAGTCGTCTTAGATGGTTTGATCATATTAAATGCCAACCATATGATAATCCTATTGAGAGAGTAGATGTTTTAGATTCGACTATTTGCTAAAAAACGAATGTCGGCGGCTCTCCTGGCAGGAATCTGAAATCTGAAAGACAAAACTCGACCCTCAGACATCAAACAACATACTTATAACAATTAATAGTAGTTAGAATAAGAGGGAATTGGAGTACGAAGGGAATAGAATCAATAAGAGAATAGAGAAAAGGCGATGGATCAAATAAGAAAAAAGAGGGTAGGGGTGCACCGTGGTAATGTAGTCTCTATAGTACCATGACCCAGTAAGCTCCCTCATCAAACTCCAATTACAAATTCGTGCTAGCCATATGTATTAAAAAATTAATATTACATTTTAAGGATAATTGCATAGACTGCCCGAAACATTGATATTACAAATTAATCGCCCAGGTGATTTTTTTGAACTACCGAACCAATATATTTACACGTGTCATGATCAAATCATTGAGAACTTGTTAAAAATGAAAAATATGGGTTATGATTTTATCATGAATTTTGATATTTGAGTGAGACTTTGAAAAATGGACGAAGATATTAGTTGATTTGTAATAGCAAGTTTCAGGAGGTCTGTACGTAATTGCACCAAATTTATTGAAGACTCACATTTTGCACATGTTGTCACATATGTGTGATCAATGCAAGTGTAAGTGGGTTGTGCCATGCTATCAAAGCATGATTATCCCTTCCCATTCAAATTATGATTAATAGTAATTATGTGACAAAAATAAAATGATAAAGAGTGGCAATTCATCATGATTTGATTAAGTACCAAATGAGCTCACATTAGGTTGGTAAGTGTACAAGAATGTCTAAACAAGCCAAATATTGCTAAATACTTGAATAATTACACGATTACATTTATATAAACACAGTATATTACATTTAATTAGACTCCTCCAAGAAGCAGATTCCAACAGAAGAGAAAATATTACATCCAGTAGACCGGATGTGTGGTTGACGGAAAACAATTGCGTGCGATAGACGTACGCAGCGCTGCGTGCGATGTTGGGGTTATACCGAGGATACAAGGGGGTTACATCCGCGGTATAACCCCTTGTAACCTCCTTGTAACTTTCTGTAACCTACCTGTAACAGTTTCGCGCTTTTGTTATCATATATTAAGAGGTTACGTAAGTTACATGGAGGTCACAAGGAGGTTACAAGGGCTTGTACCGTGGATGTAACCCACTTGTACCCTCGGTATACCCCAATATCGCACGCAGCGCTGCGTATGTCTATCATACGCAATTTTTTTCCGTGGTTGACGGCGTGAATTGCTTCATGCCCACAACATCGGACGCACGAAGTGGTGCTGACCAGCACGCCTAAACTATAGACGTAATATTTTCTCCGAAGAGGAGGTTCTGTACATTAATATGAATTAGGAATAATATAATAATAATTTCTTAATCTTAAAGTCAGTCAAGGGAAACAAAAGACATAATCAACAAGCTGTTGATTCGCCATTTAAGTAGTCTAAGATTGCAATCACCCCTATTACAAATGCTTGGTCAAAGCCGGGGTGCACCACTACAGAGTATAAATCCTTGCTTCCATTCATCTCCTTCAATCCAACCTGCAAAAACAAAATTATCTAGTCAATTTAATTAATTTAAATTCATCTCTTAAATATTTTTTTCATTATTTTCTTAAAACAATCTTATTTTAGTTTTAGATATCAAACATATTTTATTTTAAATAAAAACATTAAAAAAAAATATTATTTGGCATATTTTAGAGTCAATTTAGGACAGTTGCAGTTATTTGAAGAGACAGGTGAAGAAAAAATTGTAGTTCAAAAGCTTTGGTAGCTATATATATATATATATATATATATATATATATATATATTAAGAAAGTCAAATTGTGACTTTCTAGCAGCCACTGCAGACAGTCAGGTCTGATGAAAAAACGCAGCTTTTAGCAGACAAACTGCAGTTTTGCCAAACGGGAAAAACTCCAGTGCAACGCCACACCGCCGCCCCAAACGCAGCGTCCGTCATATTTTTTATCTTCTAATTACTTTCTTTATTGAATTATTTAATCCTAAATCATAATATGTACTAAAAATATAATCAAAATTGAATATGTTGTAAAATAAAATTACTTACCTGAGCAACAATAATCCCTTTGGGAGCTGTTATGATGCAATTTCGTTGAGGAAATGAGCCAATGACTTCAAAGCAATACTCCTTATTGTTAATCCTCTTAGGTTCAATGTATATCTTCGTTGCGTTACACCGAGCGAAGAATGGCTTTGAATCAATTAGTCTAAATATTTTCTCCTTAACTCCATCAACTTCCATTACATGTCCATTCCACTTGCTGCAACTGCTCATTGCCTCGATGATTCCTTGCTGTCATGTACATGTAATAAATAATAATATAAGAAAACAGCACATAAATTTTTTTCGTGAAAAATGTAAGGCGAGAAAAGCACGGGCAGATAGGTAGAATTTACTATATCAAATAAGAGATTATGAGCAGAGCACAAAATAAAAGACGAGCATTTATTATAAGATGTATTTAAAAGAGAGCTAAGCTAGAGACTATTATAAGTTTGATCTAATTGTTGAAACATTTCATCTTCTTTTAAATGTCAATAAAATCTACAACACCATCATCTCAATAACGTCAATGACAGAGTGGAGAAAACAGAAGAGTAGTAGTTTGGCGTAAACAATGGAAGGTTGTTGACAAATTAGGGCAAAGAAACGCAAGAATCAACAGAACAATCAAGAAAGAACACAAGAATTTAACGAGGCTCGGCAATATGCCTACGTCCTCGGGAGCTTTTTTGAAAACCGTACATCCACTTAGAGTATATATATATATATATATATATATATATATATATATATATACTCTTCCTCGGGAGCTTTTTTGAAAACCGTACATCCACTTAGAGTATATATATATATATATATATAGGACAATATGTAATTACAATATTACTCTTCACCGTACCGCGGGGGTGTTGCCCCGCACCCTCAACCCACTTAACGAAACTCCCTTAATTGGACAAACGCTTCCGCTCCACTCCAGCATATGTCCTTTATCTGGTATACGAGTCATACTTAACAAAATTGTGTTTGAACATAGAGAGATTAATCAATGTATGCAGTGAAGAAATTAGCTGATTTTTCATGAGCGAATAATGCGTTATGCGGAGTCCGGATGCAACTGGTCTTTATGTACAACAAAATTATACATAAAATGTACATGCAAATAGTATTTTAATTCTTCACATCCAAATATGAATTAAACATTAAATATGAACAATAATTATGATGCAAAGTTTGATTTAGCAAAAGCTCGAGAACCAAACCTTCTTATTTATGTAAAGTACTGAGGATCCATCACCATCTCTAACAACAAGCTCTCCCTTTGCTCCAAGCACTCCACAGCCATCAACCCTAAAAGCAACCTTCTGCAAGCTACAATCAGTGACGACAAGTCCACCTCCATTGATTGCATGAGGTCTTCTGCGAACCACAAATGCTGTCAGAGAAGAAGAACAGAAAAGCTTACTGACAATAGGCATGAGATTTTCAGATGCTTCGGCAGCCATGATTCAGAAAAGATGGAGAAAGATTTGTTTGCTTGATTTTCAGTAGAAATGAAGAGATTAAGAAGATGAGTGGAGGAGAAGAATAAGTGTTAGGTTCTTGTTCAAGAGTTTGGCTGGATTTGGTGAAAAGTATGCCCACCAAATAATGATTTAGATGCCATGTACTTATATATATTCTTATTGCAGATGTTTCTACATTTATACAATTCAAATCTTTAGTATCATGTAAAAAATATTTATAATTTATGAAAAAGATAAATTCTTATAAAGTAAGAAAAAGCAGTTTAAAGATTAAAAGATAAAACTGAAAACTAGAATATCTTTGAATTTTATTTTATTTTTTACTTTTTATATGTTGTTTTTAAATTGTAATCTATTTAAAAAAAAAGGTATTATCAAGAAGAAAGGGAGCAATGATAAAGCAAATTAATGTGCTGAAAATAAGATTGTTGGCAGCATCTTTGAATCGGATTTCTTCCTCATGTCAAAAAGATAAAAATAAAAAAACTTTTGACTTTCAAGAGAAAATAGTGTTCCATGGGCAAAAGGCTCTATGATATAACTTGGGTGAGGGTTATGTTATGCAACTCATTTTAAAAATAGCCTGAATGCCATGGAGGAAAGTAAAAATATGTTTTTAAAATTCTGATGATTTTAATCATAAATTGTAGATTATCACAATATTTTATGATTAGGATTACTGTAGAAAAAATTACAATTTTAAGGTTATCAAGAGCCTAAATTGTAATTTTCATATCATCCCAAATACAACCATAATGTAACAGAAGAAAACAATCCAAGCATGAAAACATACAAAAAAAGTAAGAGAGCAAGTCAAATAAAATAATAGTAAAGTTTGTGTCATTAGGTCGGCGACATATCCTAGAAAAGAAAAAGGTTATCGAACTCCGAATATACATGCTGAGTTTTAATTTTATACATAGATGAAATTTAAAATTTAAGTACGGGACACAAGCAACTAACTCTCGGTCCTCGTCATATGGTTCCGCCCGTTTGACACAAGCAACTAATAATCATTATGTTGCCTCCCCTTTTTTTTTGCACCTTTGTGTGTGCATATATATGACATGACCCCCTGCAGAAGACCGCCCTAATATACTACCATGCATATCAAAGTAAACATGCTAAAAAACATAAAAGTGGCATATGATAAGAACAAAAAAACTGGCAAAGAAATGCCAAAATATCATATGCAAAATTACGCTTATTTGTAAATATTACTCCACCGTTATAAACCGTTGATTTTACTCATATGCAATCTTAAGGAATAGTCTAAGGTGTTAATTTTGTTGTATGACAATTTCTATCTACACTCTCATAATACATTTGCTCTCCATCACTCACTACCCTCTCTAAGTAAGAAAACAAAATATGTTGCTCCAAACTTCTTCTCCCACTGATGCACATCATGCACAATTTACACTTTCTACTATCATTTCTAAAGGCAATTGAATTGAGCTTCCCTCAGTAACAATTGCTGAATAAAGAGCAGTATGAGAAAAAAAAGGAAAGGAAGAAAGAAAATATTAAATTTAAAGAAATCTCCAAAACGAAACAAAATGAAAGTTTAAAATCAAATTTGAAATCCTTCTTCAGATCTTTCAGTCTTGTCAGTATCATTTTTCTGTAACTTTCATAAATCCTATAAAATTTCAGAAATTCCCATAAATTTTCATAGACTCCGTAAATTCAACAAATTTCCATGAATTTCATAAGCCCGTAAAGTTCCATAAAATTTCAAAACCTCTAAAAATTTCATATTATTCACAAATTTCATAATTCACCAACAAATTCCATAAATCACATAAATTTTCATAAACAAAAAAAAAAAAAGAAATTTAGATGATAGAAGTAAGTCCACCTTAAAAGGAGTAAGGTTTCCGATCCGCGTTACCACTTGGGATGGATGTAAAACCCCCTTGATTGGAGTAAGGTTTTCCTTCCTAATGTAATGGCTGAATCAAAATCAAATTTATAGGTTTGCGTCTATAACACATAACTTTCATGTGCTTATGTGCAGAATTTTTAAGACTTCTCACATATTTACATAGGGAAAACATAAAAGAGATGTATGCTTGTTGTTCTTCATCATCCCTAATCATCTACATGCAGCGTAGGTTTGCTGATTTTGTAACCCTAACACTTACATTTACATATAGAACATGTATACTTTAATTTGATTGTCCAGATTTCAAATTCTTAAGCATTCGCATTGTTAGTTTTTCATTATTTTATTTGTGAGCTCCACTGTCATTTATTTTAATAATAATAATATTTAATTAATTAAAGAGAAAGAGTCATGTTTCTTCCCAATAGACACCGTATCATTTCGCTTTAATTAATTAAAGTAAATTATCTAGTAGCACCCTGATGGATGATGGTTAATAACGGATAATTTAGAGAATGATCATATTTTTTCTCAAGAGACAGGGTCATATTTTTTTCCCAAGAGACACTTATCTTTTCTCTGATAAATAAGATGAGTCATCCCTCGTCAAACAAAAAAACAAAATATCTTTTCTCTCAATTAGAAAGTATATAAAGTAATTAGAGAGAAATTTTATCTCTTCATATCGAATTCTACAACAATTAATACATGCATGTTTATTTTATTTATGGGAATGTGAAAATCATGAATTCAAAGATTTTGGTCGTTATGTGTTGTACGAATTTTGGATCATGAAATTTGATTTTTTATAAATTTAAAAATCCTAACATGTGGTATCATGGACTTGATGGTTGAATTTGTGATTTTTCATTTAATGTTATTTATGTTAATTACATAAAATTTCAGCTATAAATTAGTTATTGGAATTAGATCACTAGATTTAATCGGTGAATTGAGAAATTATTGTTTATTTGATGTTTATATTATGTTTAATTTATTAATCACTAAAATGACCAAATTAGTATGTTTAACAGATGTCAAATTAAATAAATTCAATTACTCATAAACATGTGATGTTTATTATGAATTTTTTTTTATTTCATTATAGATATATTATGTCAAATTTATAGATCGCTCAAATGTTGATAATTTATTTTATAATCTTTGAATATAATTGTGACATATTTAAATACTTGGTTAAATATGTTTATATATCCAAATATAATCCTCATGTCTAATTTAAGTATAAACAATTATCAATTATGTTAAACCAATAATTCAAGCATCATATGTTTATTATTGTGTATTGTTATATAACACAAAGGAGATTTTCAACACACTACTAAAATTTTCATTTAATCTAATTGAATATGAATATCTGTTTAAGTTTAATACTAGAAGCAATGATGTATCAGCATGTTCTATTTATTGCAATATCTACTCTTGTTTCTCTGAAAAACTCCCTGCTCTCACTGATTCTAGCAGTACTAAGCATACAACAGAAAAAACAAAACTAACATACCCTTTATTAGAGTATTAAAACAAAACCACATCAAAATTTTATGAGAGAGATATAAACTTTAAATTTATGAAAGAAAAAATACATAGCATACAACCAAAAAAACAAGAAAAATTCATTACACAACAGTTTAATAACTCCAATTTTATTTTACATTTCAAACTAAAACTCGCAATAGATTTTTTTAAAGTCACAAACACCTATCTAACAGAAATTCCATCTCAACTCATCCCAATATAAGAGACCTCCGAAACGGGGCCAGACGTCGTCTTTCCGTACGTCCGATCAACGACGTACGGCCACGATCTCATCTACGCTTGACATCGTTCACGCGGTGATCACGCTCCCTCGATACCCCCCTACTATTAAGCGGCCCCCGGGCGGCGGCTTCTTCCTCCTCCGACTCCCGCCGCGCCGACGACCTCCGCTTGAAGTGCCGCTCCTCATCGCTCGACTCATGCTCGTATCCTCCTCCGCCGCTCCTTCGGCCGGCCGATGAACTAGGGTAACCGTTGGCGATCGGCCGGTCTCTTTCCCGTTCATGCTGATCCTTTAAGCCGTTGGGGGGTTCCGGCGAGGTCTTCTTCCGCTTACCGGCTCCTCCTCTATCCGCCTGCCGGCCTCCGCCGGAAAGCTGATTCGAGAGAACACGCTGCCCTTCTGCTTCCGCTCCGGCTTGGAAGGAACATCGCCGCCGGCCGACGGCTCGCCGGCGGGCGCGTTTTCGGACGATTTTCTCTTCACTGGGAGTCGGGGAGGCGGAGTCGACTGCCGAACCGGGTCCCGGGACGGACCGGCTTGCCGGTCCATGTGGTCCATGTTTGTCTGCTTCTCCGGTCTATCATCCCGGTCGAGCCGGTCGATGCTGGCTGCCTCTGATCTCAATCTCTGCAATGCCGAAGTCATATCAGTACATATTTTTTTATATATAATATTGTATTACAATAAAATATTTACTAATTAGTTTTCTAAATGCTGCCAGCCATCCGATCTGGATCAAACGGTTGGATTAGCAGCAAATGTAGCCACCAGTTGGATAATTTTAAATATTATAAATCTCATCACATATTTGGGTGCTATCAAGTGGCTAAACAATTTTAATTTTACAAATCTTATCTAATTTGGCATTTACATACATACCACCCAATTCTTATGTAATCATATATCCACCAACTAATTTTTATTTTTTTTACATTTATACCTTCCTAGTCTTTCATATCACACCAATAATATCATTATTATGGGTTTTAAACAGTGGAATATTCCTTCTTCATGTATAAATAAACTGACACAAGTAAATAAATATAAATTAAGTGTAATGTATGTAAATAGTCCTAAAATTAATTGTTTATATACCATAAAAAATGTTACGGTCGTATAAGAATAAAAATACTGGTACCAAAAATCAACCAGATTTAATCCCAAAATTATTAGTAATAATTTTAAATGAATATAATATATAATAAATCAATTAAAATTAACATTGCACTCATCTTAAAATGAATTTAAGACCATTATTACGTAAGCCATTTTCCATCAAACATTATCCAAAAAAAAAACGTGCATTTACATAAATAGCACACAATTCTTATGTATTTACATATCTCACAACCTAAATTTTCATATTTACACAGCATCAACATTTTCAACATTTTCAATATACCACCAAAAAAAAAATTTATTATCACTTTTTAAAAGTAAAATATACCTTTTGTGTAAATATGAAAATTTAGGTGTGAGATATGTAATACATAAGAATTGTGTGCTACGTATGTAGATTTCCCGCTGTGAAGCTCGGGAAAATTGCACACAAAATTCATAACACATCGCTGAAAGCAAAATAAAAGAAAACTAAAGACCGTTTGGGGCAGCTTATTTGGTGCGGTGGCGTTCTGAAAACGCACCTGACCTGTTTAGGTAAACCGCATTTTGGCAACTTATGCATTTTCAAAACACTGAAAACAACGTTTTCACACCGCACCAATCTAGGTGCGGGGGCAACTTTCTTTCAACAGTGGCATTTCCAAAAAATAAAAAATAAAAATTTGTGATAGTCACCAGACTTAACTTATCAACAAATTATTTTTAATCAACTTATTATCAGATTATTCAATAGGTTGCAGCTGCCCCAAACAGACTCTAAGTGACTGAATCCACCCAAAATAATGATAATAATAATAATAATAATAATAATAATAACAAATTGGGGGCATTTATATACATACCACATAATTCGTGTTTACCATAGTTTAAAAAACCAGACTAAATCTAGCATCAGAACTTTAATATTTGCATGCACAGCAACACTCAATTTTAACATCACATCAAAAATACCACCATTATTAACTTTTAGCATCAAAACTTTAATATTTACATACACATCAACACTCAATTTTAAGATCACATCAAAAATACCACCATTATTAACTTCTCTTGAAGGTGGAATACATATTTTCATGCATACATTTATGAGATCCAAGTGGTATAATTATAAATATCAAACTATAGAGGTAGATTGTGTGGTATATATGTAAATTTCCCAAAATAAAATAAAATAAAATAAAATAAAATAAAAAAACTCAAGAACAAACCCTAATTGAATGGTTTGTATAGTTGAGAAAGTAGAGGAATAAGAGATCCAAGGAAATGAAGAAGAAATGAATTTTAGACCAAAAGAGAGACATACAGGCTTAGCCTTCTTCTTCAGCAAGGGAGCAGCTTCAACATTGCTGTTGCTCTCCTTTCCCAAAGCCATTTTCTCTCTCCTGCCACCAACATCATATCTGTTTATTTAAATAATTAATTCCCTTCTTTTATAATATTCTCAGAAAATATAATATAAAAAATCATAATTTCAAATTGTGAATTTAAAAAAAAAATTATCTAATGTTTCACCTTTATAAGATGGTAAATAGAAAGTAGACTTTAAGTGGATAAATATATATGAAATGAAAAGTTTGAAAAAACTGGGAGAGATTATTTTGGCATTAAATCTGCATATTCTTGTGATATTTATGAACATACCTATAAAAAATATTTGAAGTGCTCTACCATAATGCATACATTTGCAAATATCAAAGATCTAAAAAAAAAGAACCTTTAATGGAACAAATGAAAAGCTAAAATCAAGAAGATGTTTAAGACTGAAGAAGTGAAATTGCTAGCTGTTGACCAATAATATATTAAAAAGTAGTCCTTAAGTATGTTAGATATAAATCTTAATCTATCATTAAGAAAAATGGAGAAAAGTTTTATTTTTTAGAGTTAAAACTGGATGATTAAAACAAGGAGTGGCTCGGGAGAACCATGTGATTAGAGAGTATCATGAAACATAGCAATAAATATTATAAAATTGTTGGGCTGTGAAGCCTAAGCACGAGGCACTCTGTGCGTGTGCGCCGGGTTGTGGGCGCTTAAGCGTCCACTTGGTTGCTGCTCGAACAGAGGAGCCCATGCCTAAGCGCCGGTTTTGGGCGAATATGGACCTGCTATAGAGCGGGCTGTCACACCCCGACATTTTCAAGGAAATGACAAGACAAGCATGAGAAGGAAAACTTTAGAAGAGACATGCATGACAAGAACCTTCTAGAGCCAAGAAGGTAGAAGAGAAAGTTCCACACAACTCTAGAAACTTCTACCCAATTCTAGAGATCAAAGGAAGGCAATACTCCATGAAGAACTCAATGATGGAGTACGCATAGTTCAAGAAGAATCTAGAAGGATCTAGGATTATGTATTTATACAAGAATTGTATGGAATACTCTAGAAAGAAGGTAATTCTAGAATATTCCCATAACTTGGAGGGGGGCTATAAATAGAGGTCCCTCCCCTCATTTGTAATCATCTAAGCATTCAGTAAAAACTTCCAAGAATTCAAGTGTGAAGTGTTCCTTTCTCTAGACTTCTTAAGAGTGTTTTGTGCTCACAAGTCCAAGCGTTGTGAAGATTAGACTGATTTAATGCTAAAGGGGAGCGCTAAAGCCGCACGGGTAACGAGCAAAGTTTAGTCTGTGGCAGGGCACTGCTCTTATTCTCGAGAGAACGGTGCCTATAGGTGTCGATCTATTGGCACAATGCAAAATGCGGCGCTCACTACACGAAAATTCTGTTTTTAAGCCAATTTATGAGTGTGGATTGTAGAGGTTTGTTGTTTTTTTCATTCTAAATTCTTTGACTAGCATCCCAGTGAACGTGAGTGTCAAAAAGGTAAATTTCAGTGATTCGACGTGATTTTTTGTCGGATCACATGGAGAAAATTGTTGGTGCAAGTCCTGTAAGTTACTTCGTGTGAATATGGAGAAGAAACTTGTGTGATTCCTTTGTAAAATTTCTTGAATTTCATAATAGAATTTCTATTGGCTTGGCTCTGGGGTTTTTCCTGTTCTTAGGGTTTTTCCCGTAAAATCATTGAATGCTTTTCTGATTGCTTTATGCTTCCGTTTTAACTTTTGTTTCAGTTTTTTCAAATCCTAAGATCATATTCTGCGACAAAATTAAAAGAAGACTATTTCGCAGTAGTTTTCCCTAACAAACTGGTATCAAAGTGAGATTTGATTCGAGTGGGAGCAATAGCTGAAAAAGCAAGGTTCAAAGTGGCGAAGTTCAATGAGACGAACTTCGCTTTCTGAAAGATGCAGGTGGAGGATTTGTTATATTAAAAAAAATGTACTTACCGCTACAAGGAATCATAAAGAAGTAGGAATCTATGTCTATGGAGAAATGGGAAGTGTTGGATCGAACAACACTAGATTTGATCAGGTTGACACTTTCCTCATTTGTTGCGTTCAACATTGCGAATGTGAGAACTACAGTGGATCTCATGGCGGCACTGACCAAGATGTATGAATAACCTTCTGCTTCTAAAAATATTTTTTCTGATGAAGAAATTAAACAATATGAAGATGGTGGAAGACAGTTCAGTGGCAAAGCATCTTAATAGCTTCAACACTGTGACGAGTCAGTTGTGTTCTGCGGGGATCTAGTTTGATGATGAAATAAGAGCACTAGTGATACTATCTTCATTGTCGGAAAGTTGGAATAATTTCGTAATGGCGGTGAGTAATTCTTTGGGGACTTCGAAGTTGAACTTAGATGATATCATAGGCCTAATGCTAAATGAAGTTCACATAAAAACATCGAATGATAAATCTTCAGGTTTTGCATTGAATGTTGATAGCAGGAGAATGAATCTAGGCACGAATATAGGCTGAGGAAGATCCAAGTCTAAAAAAGTAAAGCCAAGTCAAGCAGAGGCGAATGCTGGAACTGCGATAAGGAGCATTTCAAGAATGAATGCAAAGCTCCAAGGAAAGCCAGTGATGGATGACAGGAAAGTAGTTCTCTACTAATGCGTCCACAGATTAAATCTAAAATGTCTCCCTGGTGTTATCTCAAGTCAGCACTGAATCCTGGATAGTGGATTCAACTGCCTCTTTTCATGTTTGCCCAAATAAAATGAAATTTGAAAACTACACTCTGAGTGATCTAGGGAAGGCTTAACTGGGAAATAACAAGACATGCAACATAGTTGGAAAGGGTGATGATGATATCAAGTTGTCAAACAAGCCAGACTAGAAGCATATTGAAGTTAGACATTCAACAAATTTGAAGAGAAATTTCATCTTTGTGAACCCGTTGGCAGAGTTAGGACTCATGACTACTTTCACAGGTGATTCGTGGAGGGTGACCAGGGGACATTAGTAATGGCTTAGGGCAACATTGAAAGCACGATTTATATAATCAATAAACTGACTAGTTTCATTGATGTAGCTCGAACCAGAGTGGCTGCAAGTTTGAGGCACCACAGGCTTGGTCATTGAGTGAGAAAGGTATAAAATCCCTACTTTCAAAGAATAAGTTTCAGGTTTTAAAATCAGTTGATATGGATTTCTATAAAGACTGTATATATGGCAAGCAGAAGAAGCTTTCTTTCTCCAAGAGAAAGTCAGTGGTGAAATCAAAGAAACTAGAGTTAATGCATCCTGATGTATGTGATTCTACTCAAATTCAGTCCATTGGAGATTCTCGTTATTTTATCACGTTCATTGATGATCACACGAGAAAGATATGGGTTTATTTCTTAAAGCAGAAATCTGATCCATTTGAAGTTCTTAAAAAGTGGAAGGCTAAGGTAGAAATGAGACAGACATGAAGTTGAAGTATCTCAGATCAGATAATGGGGGTGAGTATCATGATCAAAAGTTTGAGAATTTTTATGCTACAAAGGGGCTCAGGCATGAGTTCATTCCCAAGGGCACCGCAGCAGAATGGTGTGGCTGAGCGAATGTACAAAACAATCACGAAGCGTGCTAGCAGCATGAGATTGCATGCAAGCTTGCCAAAACAATTTTGGATGGAAGCAGTAAACACAGTTGTTTATCTTATAAACTGTAGTCCATCAGTACATTTAAAATAAGGCTTACATGAAGAAGTCTGAAATGACAAAAAGATATGTCTATCTCATTTAAGAGTATTTAGGTGTTTTGCATATATGACTGCTGATGCACGGTCTAGGAGCAAGCTTGACTCAAAATCTGTCAAGTACACCTTCATTGGATATGACTCAGATGAGTTAAGGTACAAGTTATAAGATTATCAAAATCAGAAAATCAACGAAATGAAAATGTACTCCGAACATCCGTTTGAATAATCCAGATATGTCGAGATAGAAGATACTGGTGATCAAGAAGATAGAGAAAGAAGTAGTGCTCAATCAGAATGAGGAATGAAAGTTCCTATATCACCTACTACAGAAATCAAAACATCCAGTTGAGTGACAAGACCCGTACACACGTATTCTCTGTCTTTACATTATTTGATACTAATTGATAGTAGTGAATCAGAGTGCTATGAGGAGACCGCTCAAGTTGAAAATTCAAGGGAGTTGGAGCTCGCCATGAACGAAGAAATGCAATTTTTTTATGCAAATCATACTTAGGATTTGACGGTACTATCAAATGACAAGAACAATGCCTGACAAGTGGGTTTACATGCTGAAAGAGAAGTCAGACGGTAGCAAGCGCCATGAAAGGATGGGTGGATTACTCAGAGTTCTCCCCAATAGTGAAAATGACTAATATCAGGGTTGTGTTGAGTTTGATAGTAGTGGAAGATTAACATTTAGAGCAGATAGATGTAAAAACATTTTTTTTACATGGAGATCTGGAGTTTGAGTTATATATGATGCAACCACGAGATTATAAAGTCCCAGGCAAAGAAGGTTTGGTTTGCATATTGAAGAAGATCTTCTATGGCTTGAAGTAGAACCTGAGACTGTGGTACAAAAGGTTTGACAGATTCATGTCATGCAATGTGTACATGAAGTGTCAAACAGACCACTATTGTTTCATCAAACACTTTGGTAAATGTTATATTTTGCTTCTTTTGTACATGGCAAACATGTTGATTGTAGGCGCAAATATTGAGAAAATTAGGGACTTCAAGAAACACTTATCAAGTGAGTTTGAGATGAACAATTTAGGTCCAACCAAGAAAATCCTCGAGATAAGAATCGGCAGAGACAGGAGTGTCAGAACACTGAAGTTGTCTCAGGTGAAGTATGTTGAGAAGATCCAACAGGTTCAACATGAGTGAGGTGAAACCAGTTAATACTCCCTTAGAAAGTCATTTCACACTATCTACAGAGCTATCGCCTAACTTTGAAGTAGAGCAAACACAGATGGAGAGAACTTTGTATGCTTTAGCAATTGGAAGTTTAATTTATGGTACCACACCAGATAATGCATATGCATTGGGAGGCGGTAACATGGATTCTCAAATATTTGAGGGGAACAGTCAACAGGACACTTTGCTATGAAAATGCAGGGATCAATTTACAGGGTTTTGTAGATTCAGATCTTGCAGGAAATGTAAACAGTAGAAGAAGTACAACAACATATATCGTCAAGTTAAGAAGCACAACGGTGAGTTTGGTTTTTAGGTTGCAAAAGATTATTGTACTTTCAACTACGGGGTCGAATATGTTGTTATTACTGATGCTAACAAGAAAATTATTTGGCTACAGAGTTTCATGGCAAAATTGGGCAAGAAGCAGGGGATTGAAAGACTATACATTGACAGTATGAGTTTGATTCATCTTGCTAAGAACGCTACTTTTCATGTCAAGATGAAACACATCCAACTGAGGTATCATTTCAACCGATCTCTTTTGGAAGATGGGCGATTATTTATGAAAAAGATACATACAGCTGAAAATCCTGGGGATATGTTGATCAAGGTGGTGACTGTTGAGAAACTAAAGATATGCTTGGCTTCAGTTGGGTTTCATGAATGTTGAGATTGGTGGTGAGCCATACCACAGTACGTGACCACGGTAAGTGACTATGAAGGTAATTCAGATGGAGGTACATGTACAAGATTGGTGTTGGGTGTTATAGTCTCCAAGTGAGAGATTATTGGGTTATGGTGTCTAAGCACAAGGCACCCGATGCAAATGTTCGGGTTCTGGGCGCTTAAGTGCCCACTTGGGTATTGCTTGAACAGAGGAGCAGGCACCTAGGCGCCCATTATGGGGCGTCGATACAGAGCGCTTGGCGCTTGGGCGTCAAGTTTGGGCACGTAAGCGCTCGGTGAGGTTACTACACGAAAAATTTGTTTTTAAGCCATTTTTTAGCGTAGATTGTAAAGCTTGTTTTTTTCCTATCTGAATTCTTCGATGAACATCCCGATGAATGTGAAGAGTGTCGAAGAGATGAATTTCGATGATACTCCACGATTTTTGCTTCAAATCGGAGAGAAAATTGATGATAAAAGTCCTGTAAGTTTCTTCGTGTGAGTGTGGAGAAGAAATTTGTGTGGGCTTATTGTAAAATTTCCTAAATTTTATATTAGAATTTCTGGTGGTTTGGCTCCGTGGTCTTTTCCTATTCTCTGTTTTTTCCATGTAAAATCATTGTGTGCTTTTCTGGTTGCTTTGATTGTACTTTTGTGTTTAAATTTTATTTCGGTTTTCTTGAATCTCATGATTCTATTCCGCGGAGAAATTAAAAAGAGACTCTTTTGCAATAATTTTCCTTGACAAAACTTACAAGTAGACCATCTAATTTTATGATTTTGAAGTTAGTGTGATGAAGTTATTACATTCTCAACCTAAAATAATAGATTAAAACATGATTATATAAGCGAGAATGTAGGAGTACAATTATTGACGAAGAGGTAGTGGAAAATATATAGATATAGTTTGGTCATGTACAACAAACAATAGAAGATGCATGAATAACACCTGGAAGATAAAATTAAATTTAATTCGTTGAGGATTCAAAAAAAAGAGGTGGAACAAGCATAATTTGAACAAAAGTTATATTTAAAAACATTTCATAAGGTTAAAATCCAATGAAAAATAAGCAAGGCCAAGTTAAGGAGAAAGGGAAAAAAAGAGAGTGAGGAAAAAATTAGGATAAAATCAATGATGATGATGATGATGATGATGATGATGGTTAACATATAAATTTAACAAAATGAGAATTGCAAGAGCAAATCAAATGCAAGTTACAAGCATTAAACATTCTAAATCAAAATTTGAAGGATCTTGGAAGCATAATTAACTCCTCATCAACCAAAACTACAACAAACATCCGATGAACAATTTATATCTAGTTTTACTAGTAGTTTATCCTGTTATTTTTATTATTTCCAATGCCAACAAATGCAGTCAGTTCTGTCTTAATTGTATAATTCTATATTTTACATTTCTTTTTTCCAAAATCTGTAAACATGCCGACAATTTCTTCTTGTAAATTCAAAAGTGGCGGAGAAAATTCACATAAAAAATTTGTATGAGAAAAGGATTGAAAACATTAGTAATACATCACACAGCCCAAAACGGCACAAACACAACATGAAAATAGAAATGAGACAATAGAAAATCAAATTAAAGCAAAATTTACAAGAAAAAAAAAATAAAGTATAAAGTACACGCAAGCTAGAAAAAACAGAAGCCTGACAAAATCATTTCCATTTTTGGAATAGTTTTCTAAGATCAGAGCTTTAAATAAATTTGGTAATGAGATTAAAACTAAAATTCCACACCACCAAACGGTTTGAAAGATATATTGCAAATAAAATAAAGGTACAGCATTAACGAAATAGCTGTTAAGGGACTATTGCACAGGTAGACACACCTTTCACCTAATCTCTCCGCTCGATCCATTTCACGCTTTCTCCTCATTTCAGCTTTCCTAGCTTCATACCCCTCACGGCTCATAAGTGGAGGACCTTGATTCATGGCAAATCCATTCATCCCTAGCTCAGCAAGATCCCTGAGAATATTGATAATCATAGTAACTCTTCCAAATAAGCAAGCATCAACAAAGGAGATAACCAAATTAAATGCAATGCATCCTTAGAATTCACAAAACTGGACAAACTATATTCAAACTTCAATTCATTTCCAATCAAATAAAACATGCCGAAGAATGTTCATAAAGTAGCCATAAGACTTTAGGCGTGTTTGACACAATCCACTCTTTTCCACTTGTCTTCTGGTTTTATTTTTAGAAAGTCAAATGGATTTATTAAACTTGCTTTTAGCCAATAATCATTCAAAAACCCATCAAAAATATACGGACTTGTTTTCTTAAGTCCACAATACCTTAGTAAATCAACTCTATATTAAAATATAATACTCTAACTAATTAACCCTCATCAATAAAATTATTTAACAATACCACAAATCATAATTTACCACAAACAAATATAATTTTCCTGGAATTTTATTGAATAAGGAATAGTGACATATTTACAATAAGCAAACCTTTATCCCAAATAATAAAATAAGTACACATTATAAGAAAATAACACTTTATTGAAATTAATATTATAATTTTAAGGGGAAATTTACATAGGCAGCACAAATTCTTTCGTTGTACATATCTGACACCTAAACTTTCATATTTACATACATAACCCTTTGGAGCTTTAAGCCCATGCATGAAATGGTGCATTTCACTCTTAAAAAGTGGAATTGGTGCAGAACATGATATTAAAGATTTGAGTGCTATGTGTATAAATATGAAAGTTTAGGAGTGAGATATGTAAATACATAAAAGTGAGATATAAATACATAAAAATTGTGTTCTATGTATGTAAATGCTCCATTTTTAAACCATATGTGTTTTTATTTTCTTCGAAACTCAAAAAAAAAAAAAGAATAAAACAAAATAAAGCCAAAGAAAAATATTAATAAACGAAACATGACCTTCAATATATTAAGGTTCCCGCTTGATGTCTACCGGTTTTATCATAATATCCAAAACAAAACTTTTGTAAAGTAACTACACCATAAAATTACCTCTGAGGAAAGCCAGGCATCATGTAGCCCTGTGCTGCATATGGATCATGCGGTAAGATTCCCCCAAAAGGAACATCAAAGGGAGTAGGAGCATAACCCATATATGGCATCGAAGCAGCTAAATGTGGCATGAATCCATCCATTCCAATTGGCATCCCATTGCCCCAATAAGGATTGTAGGCCGAAGGACCCATAGGCATGCCAGTGAAGTTCTCCATCCCAAAATCTTGAAAGCCCCTCCATTGCATGTCACCACCTAAACAAAATAGAATACAAAATATATCTCCCATGCAGTATTACTATAAAACAAAAAATAGATAAAAACATGATCTTGGATTATGAACTAACCCATAGTGGCAATTCGAGTTTTCTTCTTCTTCTTCTTCTTTCCTGCAAATTAAAAAATACACGTTAATATTTGTGCATATTACCAGAAAGACCAAAATGGTAGAAGTTCACCCACCCACCTTGATCACCGAGAAGCACCTTTTCTTGAGCCTCTTCTGGAATAGGAATAGCTTCTGTATATGCTATTTCTTTTGCATTTGTCGAATCAGGTGTAGCTTCAGCTTGATCCATTGTTTTCTCTGACTTCTTATCTACAATATTTGGAGCAACATTATCAGCCTTCAACTCACTGGCACCCTCAACTTCCTTGCTATAAGCGGTTTGGTCTAATAGAGGAGGCTGCCTGGGTTCATCCTTAGTGGTAGCAGAAAGAGTCGGAGATGGAACTCTGGGTTGTACATGGCGAGCAGATTCCATATCTAAAGGGCGAAAGAATTAGAATACAGGGAACAAGAAAGCAGTCCATCTGACATAGAAAATAAGTAAATAATTACCTTGCACCTGTACCAAGCTTCCAGCATTCTCTGTACTACTTGTGGTTGTCTCCAATATACGGCTGATAGTCTCTCTAAGCGTTTTATTGGGAAGGAGGTCATCAGCTAATATATTAGTTGCCCCACAGACACACTTTGAGTTGGTTATGATGTAGTCGCGGATACCTGGGTGAAAATATCAAGTTGGTTTGCAAATAACAAAATTCAAAACCATGATTTTGTAGATCCATATGGAACTGAAAGTACAAATATGCAGAGTTACTTCATCTCAGATGAAAATTAAAAAATCATGAAAGAATTTGAAATCATTTGAAAGGAGTCATTTTGAAATTTTCCTTAAGCAAGCAGAAGCTTAAGCTTACACTTGTCACAGAAACTCTTGAAACAACATTTGCTGGTTAATACAGCATCCTTCATTACTTCTTTACACAATGGACAACGCAATTCAGGCGGAAGATCACTAATAGATCGGGTGGAAGGTAATCCCTCAATCTCTTTCTCGAATGCAGCTCTACAACAGTTACATAAAATAATAACGATAATATAGCTAATGAGATTTCTAATGAAAATAATTAAAAATTGACAAAGATGTAGCTCACTCGTTTGGCTTCAAGACAGCAACAGCGCCACTTGGCAGTGCATAAGATCCATCTGGAGTTGCCATTAACATGGATCTTGGAATCCCGGTAGGTGGCTTCACCCTTTTGATATCATAATTCGGGTCACCATTTGTGGGGCAATGCTGGATAAAATGACCTGAATAAAGAAACCGAAATACGCAAGTTATGAAAGATAATCATGCAAAAATATAATAAAAAAAATCAATCAGCATACCGGGAACTTTGCACCTATGGCAGATGTAACCAGTAGGAGGCGTCTTCTTCTCCAATATACCTCGTCCTTCATTAGTACAAAAAACAAAGCATCAATCAAGAACATAAAAGTCGAAACTTAGAACAAAAAGTGGAAATGCTTATATAAAAGGTGTCAACATGCCAAGCTGACTAGCATTTACTTTAGACAATAAAAATCTCAGGCACATTCGCAAGACTGCTAAAGGAAAGATGAGCATGCAAGCAAAATTAAATAAAAAAAGGCAAAATCTCATACAAATAGAGGCTTGAAATCATTGATAACGTTGGTCTAACAATCAACCTTATTCTATTATCATTTCTAACTCAAGGAAGTCTACTAAAAAAACAAATTCAAAAATGCATCTTTAATAAATCTCTCATCAGTCCCATAAATAAGCTTTTTGAACCAAAAAAAGCAAAGTCAGACAGATGTGAATTACAAAACTGGGCAAACAATTAATATGGAGAAAAATGAGACAGCAAAAAAGATAGCCAAGTCAAGTTGAGCATGTCATGGACTGGACTTGCTTTGGTCGTATTATAAGTTGTTCATGTTTGACTCGAGCTCAACCCAAACTTCTACATGAATGTTCTTACTTAGCTTGTTTAAATTTTTTAGTAATTGTGCTTACTATGCACTTGACTCGTTTATTTCAATCGGACGAAACTTCAACCAATTAATAAACAAGATAAAACTTTGAATTATTTATTGACTTTAGATATAAAATTATTAATAAACATTTTTAGAAATCTAAACATATAAGCAATTGAATGAATTTTGAATCAGTACAATACACTAATTAAATAATGTAACATGTAAGTTGAAGATTTCCTATAACTAAACAATAAAAGGAAGTTTTAACAAAATATTTCATTGAAGTAATGAAATACAAAAAAAAAACACTAAATAAATAATGTAACAAGTTGTAAGTAAGATTTCTTATAACTAAACAATATAAGGAAATCTTAACAAAATATTTCATTGAAGTAATGAAATACAAAAAAAAAAATGGATTAGATAAATATGCATAATGATATTAAATTATAATGTTACTATAAAATATATAATTAAATAAATTTTATTTAATAAAATTTGTTTAAATATATATCATATAACAATAGATTATTTGACAAGGTACTTAAACGAGTCTGTTCTTGAACGTAAATAAATAAACAAGTTAAATAATGTTCATGTTTGATTCATTTAATCTTCAATTTTTTAAAAAATATTAAAACTTATTTATCTACTAATTTAAACAAACTTGATAAAGCATTAATCGAGCAAAGTTAGAATTGTTCACCGAGTTGGTTCATTTGCAGCCCTGCTTGCCCTACATCGAAAAGATCCAACACTCACGGGCCAAGAAGAAAAACTTACACCAATGTCAGCAAGTAGATGAACGGCCTTTCCATATTATGGTCAGGGGAATCTAATCAATCTATTGAGATGACTTTTATCCTTTTCTGTGAATAGGAGAATCGTTCCGAATGCCCAACATGCCTTGAGAAAGTTCTAAGCGATCGAAGTCAATCAAATCAGTGCACTTCTGAAGGAAGGGGTATGGGCCCAAGAAGCACAGTAAATGTCCAATTTTATTTTTTTGCCCTTCATAATTTAATAAACAAATGAAAGCAAAGAGGGAAGGGCATGCAAATAAAAGAAAGAATGAAATGTACATCTCTGTCGTTGCCCGTTGGTCTCAAATCCAGACACCAAATCTCTTTATTCTGATATACATGGGAATTCATACTTCTAATTTCCAATATTTCTCTCGTTGCATATGCGGTGAATTACAAATGCCAATTGCAAATCACTGAAGCTGAAACTAATAAAATGGGGTAAGCCTTTTTATCTAGTTCTAAAGACTTCTCTTTTTCGAATCCCATCCTCAGTGAAATACTATTAAAGAAGCGACATGAAAAAACATCTGGCTATAAATATTTGAAGAGTATAAATGCAGCTGAAAGAGAAGAACAAATATAAATGGGGCCTGTGCATTATGTTTAAAAAAAGCAAGAAAATGTAGTAATTTTAGCTACAAATGCTCCATATGAACGAACTAATTAGCAGATTTTTCCCTGATAAAAGTGCCTTTGAAAATACAGCTACAAGTTATTTAAGACTAACAGTAGAATATGCAGAGCTTAACCAAAAAACCCTTCTAATATATTCCTTTAGCCTAATCGGGCCAGTAAGCACCTAAACAGTAACTTTGAGACATCTCTACCAAATAAAAAACAAAGAAACTTTGCTCAAGGATTCATAATAAACTCAGAAGTAGAACAGTTAATAGAGGGTATAAATTGAATACCAAAGCCACGGCCGGCCATCATCCTTCCACCCATTCCCCTACCAAATCCTCTGCCAGCACCATATGAATCATGTCCTTGGCTGTAAAAGTCATTTCAGACCATAAAATCACACAGCATATTTTATGAATATCTACAAATCCAGAAGACAAACAAATAAAACTAAATATTCTATTCTCTAGAGCATCACATGGTGCAATAAACAAGGTAGCTGCAAAGTCAAAAGAATCTCACCGATTCCAATCAAGTGCAGGTGTATCAACTAAAGCTTTAATCTTGCTCTCTTCATCAACTTTATTCACAGGAGAAACATCGAAAAGTGCAGCACTTGACTGAGGAGGATGGACATCAGGAACACTGTACAAGTCATTTCCAAATTCATCCCATTCAGATTCATCAGGCTGCAAAATACAAAAATGATACAAGTTACTTTCATTTTCATTCCTTACTAATGCAGTGCCAGTTGTTTACCAGATGACATAACTTGTAGTTGAAGATATAGGCATCTAAAGTAATTAAGGCTAGTTCATTGCGATAAGCTTACATATTTCACTGTAGATGAATCGCCAAGCATCAAGCTATTAGAGGGTAGAGTATGTTCTATTTTATCCTCTACAATTGTGGGCCTGCAGGTAGTGTAAAGTTTAAAATCTTGTCACCAGAAAGTTTGTTCCTTGAATGTTACTTATAGCTATTATTATAGATGCTAATTCAAGAAAAGCTCCGACAATTTTATGTGGTACAAAACCTCAGTAATCCTAATTTGATTAGCCGTTAAGAGAGCAAGTAAATAAACTAACAAAAGACCAAGACTTGGGATGTAAGACAGTACTCGTCTCTCTCGGTAACAATAGGTATACGAGGGCGCCCTGGTACTCGGCGTATCAGTACCGATGTATTTTTAGGAATCATCGCAGCTTCGTCTACATATTCTGAAAACGAAAGTGAAGGTCACAACATCCATTAAAAGTGAAATGAGATATGAATGAAGTCCATTCCCAAGTAAAATAAACATGTTTGGAAAGAATCAACAAACTACTAATCACATATAAATGCTCCCAATTCCACAACTTCCCAATTTAGGGCTTCTTTCAGATCAATTTTGTTTTTAGTTTTTTTTTTTATGTTTTTTCTTTTGTTTTAAAAATATATTTGTTTAATGTGCTCTTAAGATATAAAGATATGTTTCCTAAAACAATTAAATATGTTTTTAAAAACACTCAAAACAACTTTTAGGTGTTTTAAGTGTTTTAAAAAACAATCATATCTTAATCCAACATACCAAATATGTTTTATTTTAAATCAAAAACAATGTTTAAAATTGCGCAACTTGGTATTGAGACGACTTCCGTTCTTGAGGCGAGGCGAAAGCTTCGAAGCGGGCCGAGGCAGTTTGAAAATTACATAAGTCAAAATAAAGGGATAAAATAAATATTTTAGCATCATAATATATATATATATATATATGGTAAAAAGTGACATAGCGTTTACATGAAATAACAAATTTTGTAAGCTATAATGTAAAATTTAAGAGCTTGCACAAAATAAAAATATAATGTAAGAAATCAACTGATCAAGCCATCAAACAAACATAAAACATGAAGTGAAAAAGCATAAAATATCAAAATAAGACATAAGATGATTTTAACATAAGCAGAATTATCTCACTCCTATTGTCTAACCAACATAATAACATCCATAGATTTAAATAAATAATAAAAAAATGGAGTTGCGGGCAATTGCGATGGTAGCAAGAGCAACTGGCAGTGATAGGCTAACAGCAGCACAAGCAATTGGCGACAATGATAGCATCAGGGGCAACAAACAACTATAGCACAAGAAGTAGGCTATTGTTGTATCAGAAGCATCAAAAACTATAGTGGCGATAGAAGCCGTAAGCTGCGGAGGTAGCACCTAAAGCAGAAGGCGATGCTGGGAAGCCTAATTGGAGAGAGAGGAGCTATTGCGCATGAGAGTGTGGCATCAGTTCATATTCAAACCATCTAATATAGGGTAAAAAAAAATTAAGAGCAAGAGACGCGCGCCTCAACGGAATTGAGATAAGGCGCACCTTGAGGCATGCCTCAACCAATATGAGGCGTATGTCTAGCCGGAGCTGCTCAAGGCATACGCCTCCAAGCATTATTCTTCAGAAATGCTCTAAAGCAAACCTCAAGGCGCGCCTTAAATTGCGCAACTTTAAACAGTAATCAAAACATAAACAAAACAAAATAAAAATTAAAAATAGAAAATAAAACAGAAAAGTAATCCCAATTGGACTCTTGATCATAAGTAAACAATTTTCAGGTAGAAAGATTATCATATCATGTATCATTTGCCTAATCACCGCCCACTAAATTAATTATAAATTGTTTTTAGGCATTAATTTTTTTATATCATGTATCATTTGCCTAATCACTCCTCACTAAATTAATTATTTCCCAATATTGAATGTTCGTAGAAATGTATTCAAGCCACCTGAGATTTTAAAAAAAACCAACCTTCATCAGTCTGAGCATTTGAAACCATCAGATCGAAATCAGTACCCCTTCCCAAATGCTTGGATTCAAAAATTCTTTCTTTCAGATTTGAAACAGATATGAATTGTCCCTCTATGGAGATAGAATCATAATCTTTTGCACTTTTAAACTTGTAGTACACAGCCATATTCTTTTCAATGAGTTTTCCCCTTATCTAAGAGCAAATTGGTCTACCAAACAGGACAAAATTGCCTCAAAATGATTTGCAAAGCAAATAAAAGGCCATCAAAATTATAAAAAGGCCCAATATTAGGCAAGAACAACAAAAACAAAAATTCCAATACAAAATAATATGATCTTTTTTCTATTCTTTCGCTGCAGGGCACAAACTCTTCTTCAAATATAGCAGCCAAAAAACTTAAGGAAGTAAGTAGCTCCTCAAGCAATCCTTTTATCCAGAACAACCGAACAGAAAACAGAAATCCAGCAGCCAGCTACAAAATCCACAGATCAGGACAACTTCCAGGTAGAGAACAACAGCAAACGCCTGGAAAGGGTCACAAAACTCCAGGATCAAAAGTTGATCTCCCCGGTACAGCAGATTGGAAACTCTCGCAGAGTCAAAACAAACGGCAGCTCCACGATCTGAAACCCTCGTGCACCGATTCAATCGATCGCATGATCTAGGGCACGGCACAGGGTCCTTCAAAACGCCATCGCATCCGACAACTCAATAGTCCCACAAACAATATCCTCAAGCCGATCGATCAGCAGGTAACGCGTCGGAAGAAGACCGGAAGCATCGAATCGACGAAATCATTCGTTTCGTATTAAATCCCTGGTCTGGTAGATCCCGTTGGAAGCTATATATTTACGGGATTTATGGTAGTTTAAAAGCACGCAAAGGTTGCTGAGATGAAGGAAGAGAAATACTAGGGTTTGTCGGCTAAGAGCGGATTGGAAAGCGGAGACATACGGGAATTTTAGATATCTTCGTACGCCTCGATTCCGATGTTCCCTTCCCGGCTATCTCTAATCGCGACTGTGCCGCGGGGGTTTCGAGCACGGGAGGAGCGGGAAGGGTAAGGTAGGCTATGGTTTCGGGAGAAACCAGGCGATGGAGAAAGCCAGATAGGAGAGGTTTGCGAGGACGAGAGGGGAAGGACCAGACAGGTCTCTGAATTTAATATAATTTTTTTCTGAAAAAAAAAATGCATGCATTAATTATTTTAATATTTAAATTTTATATTTATAAGATTTTGAGGTTATAAATGTAAAATAAGTCATTGTGAATATAAATATTAAAATTTTGGGGGGTTACTTTATTTAAATAGATAATAACTTAGTGGTAGCAAATGCCTATTAATTTTACAGAAGTTAATTTATAAATTTCATTGATTAATAATTAGTAAGCCATAAATAGATTATCAAATTAACTATAAATATATATTAATGTGTGACTGGTTTATAATTAATTAACGCAAATAAAATTTCTTTCAAAATTTTAATTAATTTATACAATTAAAAATTAATTATTGATTAGTTTAATACATAATCAATAATTACTTAATGCATAAGACCACTGTTTGATAAATAATTAGGTTAATATTTTTTTTTTATGATTAATTAGTTTAGGTTTTGTTTAGCATGGCCCACTCAAAAGTTGTTTTCGCGAACGGAGCAGGCCCTGAGCGATCCACAAAGTCCAAATTTCACCGTTTTGTTGAAGTAATGTCGGGAGACACGGGTGAGACATGTATTTAAGAAACGAAAGTTTTTAAGATGTCAGTATTGCACTGAATGAAAAAGAGCATCACTATTCCATTCAAAAGTTGTTTTCGCGAACGGGGCAGGCCCTGCGCGATCCACAAAGTCCAAATTTCATCGTTTTGTTGAAGTAATGTCGGGAGACACGGGAGAGACGTGTGTTTAAGAAACGAAAGTTTTTAAGATATCAGTATTGCACTGAATGAAAAAGAGCATCACTATTAGGTCAAACAAAGCCAAAGTAAATAGTTTATTAATTATTATCATACTTAGAAATAAAATTTTAAATTAAATTTAATTATAATTAATAATTAGATCATTAATATGTAATATTCAATACATATCCAACAAACATCCCTAATTCCTAAAATAAGGTTGCAAAATTTAATAGTCTTTAATATCCATCATACTGAATCTTTTTTAGGATTTACTGAATATGAATTTATGGGATAAATTAAAATTTGTTTTGAACCAAAAAGTCTCTTATGTTTTTGGATAAAGGTTTATTTGGTAGCAAGATGTTAGATGATTCAGTAAATCCAATTAAAATGTAGATTTGTGAGATTTAGAGGAACTAAAGCATACGCAAATCGGTTGGATCAAGGGGGAGAAAGACTAGGGTTACCTTCCTAAATGGTTTCAAGTAGGACCAGAACAAAAATAGTAGAAAGATGAGAGCTAAACCACAGGCGAGCTATCATCTCATATTCGCCCTTCCTCTTACTTTGTCATATCGCTTACATGTCAAAGTATTGTTTCGCCAGAGCTAGCTTCCTCTTTCTTCTCCGCATAAGTATAACCCACGCTCTATCTTCCACTACATTGATATAATTGCCCGGGCTAGTCTTCCACCCACCCAGCCCACAGTATCGAGTTAGAGACCATACCCAACGATTTCACTTAGAGTCATCATTTATCTTGGACTCATTTATTTAAACTAATTGATCTCAACATATGTATATTTTTTTTTATATTGCAGATGTGATTTTATTTTATTTTGTGAATAGATTTAACATGTAAATTTTGATTTATTCATCTAATTCCATCATGAAATTTTGATTTATACATGTCACACTTTTGAGATTATGAATTGATTTGGTCATAGCACAATGCGCATTTTTCTTTCCTTGAAGGAAAATGACTTTTTTAAAAGTTTTTAAGTGTCATTTCTAAGTAATCAAACCAAGCATTTTTGTTATGGGGGCAATCAAAGGTATTGGATGACTATTTCTAAGCAAATAGTTATACTTCATTAAACAACAAATATTAGCAAAATATTAAAAAAAAAATGTTATGTTGCACGTCTCATTATGAATTTTGTATATTTTAATATTTAGTTTTGTTGAATTTGAGATTGTTCATGAATCACCGCAAATGAAAAGAACGTAAATAATGAGAGAAAGGGGGTGAAAGGAAAAGGGAGACGAACAGTAATGAATAGTATTCAATGATGTATTTTCATAGAATGATTACGATGAATAGTATTCAATGATGTATAGTATTCAATGATGTATTTTCATAGAATGATTACCTTATTTATAGAAGAGTTAGTACATTAGTAATATTACATTTTTACCTCCGTTTGGAAGGGGTATGTACAATGATTTTTTTGGTATTTTAGAAGTGTGGGATTATCGTCTGGTTGTCATCTGCCTCGGTCAACTGAGCTTAGGTTACTTCAGGTCAACGGGGTCAGCTCAGTCGACTTGGCTCGGTCGGAATGGTTTAAATGGTTCATCCAACCTCGTTGACTGTCTTCAATTTATAGTGATGAGACTTTGGGGTCTCCGCATAATGATTAAAGATGCTATGTGGAACTGGATCTTTTTTGGATTGACTCCATTGGGGATAAGTTCTCGTATCTAGTTGAAGTGTATGGCTTGGACATTCCGGTCAGATGGTTGGTGCTTGGATCACTTGATCTTTTTCTTGTCTGTCTCGTAACTTTACTGAATTTAACCTAGTTGACTTAGCTAGCACAACATTGTTTATTTTGTCAAGTGGGCCTCGTGATCTCCTAGCAATGGGCATGTCTCTGTCGCACTCTTCTTTTTTGGAGAGTTATATCTCTTTGTAATTAGTGTAGACACATTCTTTATGTATATATTTTAGTTCCTCGATTATTTTATTCATTGAAAGTGGTGTTATGATAAGAAAAATAGAATTTAACACAAAAGTAGATCACATTAAATTTTAATTAATGATTCAATTATTGAACTCCATTGATTTCAATGACTTTTATTCTTATAAATAGGGCATGGAGTGAATCCTCATTCCTGATTTGATACGTGCATTTCCTTGTTTGAGTCGGTCGGATTATGCTTTTCAGGCACTGTGATGGACAATCTGTCAAAGTCCTATGCCGACATTCTCACCAAGAGCTTGATCTATTTCGTCTTTGTTGTGAAAAACGACGACAATAAAAGAAAAATCAGATCGAGAAAAAATGTAAAACAAAAAACACAAAGGAAACACACAGATTTATGTGGTTCGCCAAATTGCCTACGTCAATGGAGCTGCAGAAGATTTTATTAGCTTGAGGAATTACACCCGTCGATCACCTTGATAATTACAAGAAAGAACAAAACAATCTCTCTCTCTCTCTCTTCTCTCATTCTCTCTCTCTTTTCTCTCATTCTCTCTCTCTACCCGAGAGCTTCAAATCGAAGCACGTCAGAAGCAGAACCTGGAAAGCTACTAATGTCGAAGAGTGATGCATAGGAAACCAAATCCCGAGATAGTACAAGGCAATCTAGCATGTCTATTTATTAATTTCATCATGTCATTAGGCACATTGAGGAATTAATCAAATAAATAATGAAGCCCCCCATTAATTAATTCATTTTCTCTCCTGCAACAAATCATAGAAGAAATTAAGAGCAATTAATTTTGAGTATCAAATCCAATTTGTTGTCAAACATAAGAAAATGTCAAATTGAGCAATTGACCGGTTTTCATATTCGCAACAAATCTCCCACTTTGAAACTGGTACAATGGTTACATCATCCACCAACTGCGTCGCCCTTTTCTTCAAACGTTATATCATTCACCTCTGCAACTCAAAGCCCCGATCTTCATGTCAGAAGATCAGTTGAAGTCAAGCACAACTTTAGCTTCTCAATAATAATACCCTCAATCGATATATCAACATCAACATTGCTTTGTACCACCAAGTTTTTTTTCCTGGGATATTCTTGTATCTGCTAACAATTCACACTGCATGGGCAATATCCAGTCTCAGTTGAAAGTCTTTTTTAACAAGTTCAATCTTATACCTTTTACTACCATCAAGCGCTGTTTTCACCTAGTGCACCCACTTGCTGAGCAATATTTTATTTTCCGATATAAGTTCTGTCAGCTCCCAAGTTTGATTCCCTAGCAGAGAATTCATCTTTTTCGGTTGATTTCCTAGTAATGAAAAATGAAATTTCTTCCCATAGAGGTAGTCATCTATCTGCATCCTCCAATAATCAAAATCCGTGTCATTAAACTTCTCGTTCCCCGATGTCATCACATCATCTCTGACCATCGCTTTCCCTCATATTCAAACCTGATCTCTGATACTAGTTTTTGTGAAAAACGAAGACAATAAAGAGAAAAATCGGATCAAGAAAAATCGTAAAACAAAAAACACAACAGAAACACACATATTTACATGGTTCGACAAATTGTCCACATCGACGAAGTTGCAGAGCATTTTATTAGCTTGAGGAATTACAATCGTCGATCACCCCAACGATTACAAGAAATAACAATCTCTACTTTTTAAAAATGAATTATGTATTTTAGATGCATGAACTTTTAATACCAATGTATTATAAATATAAAAACGAAACTTTGAATAGTAGATATATAATTACATATGAATTGTGTGGCATGTACATAAAATTCCCTTACAATTAAAACAAGGGAGCTGTGGCATGCAAAAGCTTAATTTAAATATGATTCCTTGGATTATATTATCGATAGTAAACGAAAATATCAACGCTATTAATATGCAATAATTCCAGCTAATACGGGCTTATAATATTCAGATTAGTTATTAAAAAAATAATAATAAATAAATATAATCATTTATACAACAACTTTGTGCTTAACGGATTAATTTTTAATCTTAGTTGATATCCACTCTCTCTCAATCAAACAATTTTGAAAGATTTACATAAATGTCACTTAATTTCTATGTATTTACATCTCTAATATACATATAACATTTAGATGGTAGATAGATAAAAAGTAAAGTTAGAGTGTTTGATATGCAAATACATGAAACCCTAAACTGCTGAGCACGACGGCATATGAATTGTTCGTCGTGGCCTTAGGTAACGTAGCGTGCATGAGAAGCTCTCATGCTGTGGAGATGCCAATTATTAGAGTGCTCAGCCCCTACTTTTGGGTGCAAGATGCTAATTTTTTTCTATATTGCTATCCTCAGCTCTAATATCTGTTGAACTTTCGAGGAAATTTACATAGTTAATTTCATCCTCTGCTGTAAGAGAGGTGTCTTATTTTTTGACTTCTTATGTGTATCTGTATAGAGTCCTTAGACTGAGGGTCCGTTTGGGGCAGCTTATAAGTGCGGGGGGGGGTTTCAAAAAGCCGCCCTACTGTTTGGTTGGTTCGCGCGTTTCGCTAACTTATCCGAAACTGTGTTTGGATTTTTACATCAAACGCAGGCCGCGAGTCGACCCCTGCAGCCGGCCCGCGGGCCGCATTTTAGGATAAGCAGCTTATCCTGAAACGCACAAGCTACCATAAACGAACCTTCAATCTTCTTTATCCATTGTGTCCTATTGAGTTAGCTCCAGTGACAAACAAAATTAGAGAGATAAGAATAATGAGTGAAGCACTTGCGATTCATACCTTAATTTTGAATTTTTAGTTTGTATAAGAAATAAGACTAGAGATGTATATGTGGAACATAACACTTTATCACCTGTTGGTATCAAATCTTGATGTCACTTGTGCAGGCTATTCGTTCGAATCACTTGATACTATATTTCATTCTTTCGTAGCTTCCCATAGTTCAACACAACCATTAAGACCCTCTGATCACCTCATCATCATCTCGGCAAAACGGCAGAATATGAAGTCCATAAACATGCAACACCCCCCCCCCCCCCCCACACCATCCCTCTCTCATGTCGATGTCGCCTTGAGCCCAGCACCTGTTCCTCCAGCATCTTGCTCAACAAATTGCTCCGGAGCGCTGAGTCCCACCATGCTTCTCCCGCAACGACCTGTGCCGCAATCGCCGTATGGACCAAAAATTGATCCGCCGCCTCCACATCGTCTTTAAGCTCATGTCAGTATCTGCCGACAAAGAATTGACAGCCAACACTTCTTTGGGGTATCATAACCCCATAGCCGCCTAAGTCAATAGCCTCACTCCCATGGGTGAGATAATCGCCCTAGGTGAGCGCCCCGTCGAAGAGTCGTCCGTAAGACCACAACTCTCTCAAGAGGAGTGTTTGCTAAGAAACCAAAAGAGACGAATCAAATATCTCGATCGTCAGCTTTGCGCTTGAAGGCGACTCTCTTCCTATCCACTCCTTTCGTAGATGCCTGACGTGAAGGTTCACACTTCACGTCTAACTTACAAGTCTGCACTTGTATGTCACTCATAGCTTTAAGAAATACACTCTTATCAGAAAGCGAGACTCCTTCCCCAAACACAGCAGAGAGCAAATAAAGAGAATGACACATGACAAAGGAATCTAAAAGAGCTGAAGCGGTGCATATTTCCCTTGCCCCAAACCCTATTTTATAATGGTTGAGGCGAGGAAATCCATGAAAGTTCATTGTTGCGCAATAATATCATTTATTTATTTATTCATGCATATGGTATAAAAATTTTTTCTTGTCCTCGTGTGCTGAGTAGATTCCGAGGAGCAAGAAAATCAAAAAACTCAATATGTGTACATGAAAATATGTTTGCATGAATCTCAAAGTAAAAGGGTGATCCAGGAAGTAAGTATGACCGATCAGATGAAGCAATAACTGATTATTTCCACACAAGCGACTACAAAAATCCTTCGCTTAAGCGATCGACAGGAGACAACAGACAAAAGTCCTTCAAGATAGTCATCAACTTGCAAAACGACGATGAAGAGCACTCATCGGGGCCATAAATCAATCAAACAAGATCTGTCAGAAGATGAACAATATTTATCAATCAAATGAGTCCCGAGCTTTATCATATGCAAATAATATTGTAAATTACAAAAAAATATACCCTGAGAGCTTAATGATTAGGGGCGGACATGTATTTTCATAATGTTGGGAGTTAGGTTTATAAATAAGTATACATATTATGAATAAATGAGATCTTCTTTGGCTGGTCTACTACTCATCTTTCACACACTCTCTCTCTTAATTGCCTCATAAAAGAACCTTCTATTCCTTCCACATATTTTTCGGACAATTTCGGATTAGACACTGTGTAAATATGGTCTAATTATTGGGTGCGGACAACGCACCCAGAGTTGCGTGCGCTCTCCGATCACAACCGTACATCGCGGCTGTAGAACAATGGTCCCACTGTCATACAACCACAATGTGCGGCTGAGTTGCGTACGCTCTCCGCACGCAATAATCACTCATAAATATGGAAAAAATATTACATCAGTACCACGCACGTAGAGGAACGTGCGTACCCAATGAAATCACGCAACGATATCCCGCGCGACGCAGAAAAAAAAACGGCGCAGTAACACAGGGAATATTCCTCCCCGTGTTATTCATGTGTTATTGTGTGTTATTCATGTGTTATTGTATCCTGGGAATATTCTTGGTGTTATAATAACACAATAACACATGAATAACACACAATAACACAAGAATAACACGGGAGAGAATATTCCCCCGTGTTACTGCGCCGTTTT